AGCATTTATTATTCACACTTATTAAATTACTCCCTCTATTCTAAAATATAAGTCATTTTTATTTATTTTTTTTGAGAAAAATCAAACTAGAATTTCAGTAATTGAAAACTGTATACAGATATAAAATGCAGATTAATATGTTTTTATATTTTTATATGAATGCCTAATCATATACCACTTATATATATAAAAAAAAAAAAAAACATAATCTTGATTTGAAGTATCTAATCGAGTTGACAGCGCATAATATTTGTATTATAAGCGATCGCATGCTCCACTTGGTGACTATTTATAGCCATTAATCGACTTCATAGTATTTCTATAAGTCTGATCTGATTACCTTCAATTTTTTTTCCTTCTATTGGGAAGAGATCCGCACTTCTTTTTGCATAATTATTCAAATAATAAAATACGTTAGACAAAATCACCATAACGATGATAACAACAACTCAGAATTAGATTTGAGAACAAAATCCCAATATATGGGCAAGAATAAATCTCAATATATGGACAACAATAAATCTCAATGCATATGCGACAATAACTCAGATCTATAAACAGGTCTGAGAATTATTTGCAAAAAAACAAACAAAAAAAAAAAAAGAAAATGGGTGACCATTAATGAGAACTCACCGATGGAAGCCCATGGAAGAAGAGAAGAGAGGTATTAGGTTTTCAGAGAAAGAGAAAGAGAGAATATAATAAATCTGATTTTTGGTTTGTCATTTGTCATAAAATATAAGTCGTTTTGTATATTTCAAGAAGTAATAAATGAAGTTTTTCTAATGTTTCCCTTGTTTACACTAAATACAATAAATACTTCATAGACAACTATTAATTTTGAGATAAAGGATAATTTGATCGAATTACCATTGAGTTTGTCATAATCTAGCAGAATTAATTGCTTTCTTAATCTTTGTGCAAAAATCTTAAATGACTTATATTTTGAGACAAAGGGTGTAGATAAATTTATGATGATGAGAACTCGATATGAAATATTTTTACTATTCACATTCATTATATGATATGAGAATATTAATTAGGTCACTTCTGATTGGCAGTCATATTGTCCTGTTAATACTCATTTGTTCCAAAATACTTCATCCGTCTCAAAATATAAGTTGTTTTAAGATAATTATTTTGTCTCAAAATATAAATCGTTTTGAGTATTTTAAGAACTAACAAATGATGTTTTCAATGTTACCCGTATTTATATTAAATACAACATCTATCTTCACAAGTTATTGTTGATTTTCATATAAAGGAAATTAGGTCAAATTATCCTTATTTTTATTATAATTTAAGATAATTAATTATTTTCTTAATTCTTGTGAAAAATATCAAACGAGACAGAGGGAATATAAGTCATTTAAAGCTGTCACGGATATTAAGAAATCAATTAATTTTCCTAAATTATAACAAAACCAAGTATAATTTGTCCAAGTTACCATTTATCTCAAAATGAAAAATAACTTCTGAAGATAGTTATTATATCCAATATAAATAAGAGTAAAATTAAAAAAAAAATCATTTATTACTTATTAAAATACATAAAACTATCTTATATTTTGGAACAAAACAATCACCCTAAAAAAATTTATATTTTGAGACAAATGAAATATAAAACATGCATTAATTTGCTCTCCTTGTTTATAATAAATTTCAACTTCATCTCTGCATGTTATGATATTCACTATGTTCATAAATACAAGTCGTTTAAGGTTTTTACATGATGAATAAGAAAACAATTAAATCTTCTAGATTATAACAAAAAGTTCATTAATTTGACTAAATTACCTTTTATTTTACATCATTAATAGCGAATGTGGTTTGGTTGGTCTTCTTACTTATATGGAAAATGAAAGTTTTAGGTTCGAGATCTCTCAATCATAAGAGTTTTTACCAATTTAATGAGTAAAAGAGAAAATTACCCATATTGTGTAATCCACAATGTTCTTTTAGTCTATTGGACACTGAACGAATCATATATATATATATATATACACACACACATACACACATATAAGGTAAAATTGAAAAAATATTGTTAATTACTCTTTAATATTATCAAAACGAATTATATTTATGAATATGAATAGATAGTGTAATTGAGTATTTACTTTTTTAAAGTCTAATTAATTAGAATAAAAAATATAGTAATCACTTTCTTATCTAAAAATTATTAGGTTATAAAGCGAAAACAAATTAAGGTATTAACTAAGCAGATGTTAATTAGCTATTAAAAATTTAGGCAGCAATTCCAAATTAGTTATATAACCTTCTCAAGGAACGACAACATAAATTAGTATATTTACACAAAGTGTTTTCACTTCCATTTCAGCACCTCCAACTTCCAAGTGCTTTTCTTTTTCTACACAAATATAGCAATGATAATAATAATTTGGCACATCTCTTTCAAATGTTTATCCTATAATCACATGAAAATAAAAATATCTCTATTTTTATAGGACGGAGAGAGTTTATCCTATATTTTTAGTTGACCTAATCTATTAGTTGTTTCAACTTTCAACTAATAATTGCTCTCCCCATTAATTCTTACACCTAACTAGTTAATAGAAAATTAGAGCTAGAGGGCAACAGAAATTAGAGGTGGTGGGCCAATATCAATCCACAATGTGTTAGAACTCAATTTTATTCAAATATAAATTATATAAATTTAAATAAATTATAAATTTATTTCGCACATTTTACTTAATTTTACTAAAACTTGATCATTTGGGTCCAATATTGACTAGTTCTAATAACAAGCAATTTTCAAACATTTAGATCAGGAAAAGTACAGTGCTTCACCAAACAATTGCACCATATTAATTGATGAAAAAAGTCCAAGCCAATAAAAATCAAAGTGGCCAAGTCCAACCCCAAATTATTTAATTGATTGACAATTACGCATGATCTCACAATTGGGTTTCCCTTAGATTTTTTTTTTTTTATTTGACTTGCATAATCATGTCCACAAGTAAATAATTGAACTGTTTAAGTAATTTCATTTTTGTTTGACATTATTGTTATGGCTTTTTACTATCAACTGATTTTAATGTGTTTAAATCTCACAATAAATAAACAATAGTCTTAAAAGATCCTTTCGAGTTCGTAATTTTCAAAACCATTTCATTTAACTGTTTGTTTATATCAACTGATAGCTTTTTATAATGATTAGTTGACCAAATATTGCTGTTTGAGAAAATTTTATAACATCCTCTTAATGTCTTCATAAAATTACCATATTTTGTTATAGTTTACGTGCTACTATTTACTATTTGGGTTTTCTAATTAAGAAGGCAAAAATAACTATTTGAAGAAAGATATTTCCTACCTCACAAAATAAAATATATGTCGTTTAAATTTTTTTTACCATTACGAAGAAAAAAATTAATTTTCATAAATTATAACAAAAGCAGGAGTAATTTGTTTCATATCGTTACCCTTATCTCACGTTATTATATTGAATATAAATAAGAGTAAAATTCAAAAAAGATCATTGTTATTCCTTAAAATTCTCAAAACGAATTTATATTTTGGAACAAAACTATCACTTTAAAAGGATTTACTTTTTCGTTCCATAAAGATTGTCGGCTATTCCATTTAGGATGTCCCAAAATAATTGTCTACTTTTATATATATATAGTTTTTTTTTCTTATTTTACCCTTCCATAAATCCACTTTTACATGAAGTTACATTTAATTATATCTTATATGAAAAAAATAGAAAAGAAAAACACATAAATTATTCTAACTTTAATTTCATATTTTTAAAAATTATAAAAAATTGTGACAATCTTTCTGGAATAAAGAAAATATATTTTAAAACAAAAAGAGTAGAAAGAAGAGTCTTATTGCCTGAATCAATCAATCACTAATGAGTTGATATTCCAGATTACCAAATCACTAATTAGTTGATATTCCAGATTACCAACCCAATTCAGCCAATTACCGAATGAAATAATTAGTCGGTAGTCGGTTGTTATTTTGTAGTGAATATAATGTCGAAATTGACGTAGAAGATGGATAAGAAACAACATGGTATTTCTTCGGATAACCATTAACCAGTAATCATGGTATTCAACGAAACAACATGAATAGCAGATGAGATCTGCAACCCAAAAGAATATATTGTCCATTTTCTAACTTCAAAGTACTTCGTAATAAGTGAGCTTTTAAGATATCCATAGGTTGACCAACTCACTGCTTAAGGAAAAATATTTAACCAACCAGATTGCCTTATAGTCCGATCAAAATGTGAATTCCACGACTCCATCCTGTGACGAGGAGATAGGATTTAGTATGCTTCACTGGGTCAAGCTATCTTGGAATATATTATAATTTGTTTTTTCTTTCTATCTACCACTTTCTCTGTCTTAAATGTGAGGTAACACACATTGGGTAAGCTGCTAACTGTGAACTATAATGGCTTTGCCATTTAAAGATTTTCAAAACTAAACAAAAGAGAAGGTTCCTCTAGCAAAACAAATGGATAAACAAATTAAATTATATACTATTATTTTTTATTTTGACTTTTGATGCACACCCTTTAGTGGTCGGCAGAACTTACTAGTCTTTGAAAAAGACTTTCTTTTCAAATAAATGAAAAATATATTATGCTAAAAGAAATGTATGATTATAAAAATATTTTAGGTATGACATTTTAATTTTAGTTTTCTTTTGCATACAGATAAGATTATTCTCGGACTTTATTTCACGTATTATTACTAAATCCATTTTTAAAGACATATTTATCAACTGATATAAATTAATTAATTGGATTTTAGCTTTGTATGAATATAGAAGTTGTTTTTTTCATACAAAATTAACTTTTTATTTTACTTGGATAAATTTTTTAAGACATTATGATGATAGAACTTAAAAAAGATAAAAAAAGATGTATATTTTCCTACCCCATGAAGCATTTTCCAAGAAACATCTATACACAGAGAGTTTTTCTTTTCCTTTCCTTTTTCCTTTTGCTCTCTTTCTCACACTTAAGGTGTGATCATAGTTGAATTTGTAATAAAGACTGATAACACAAATCAGCTGGTGGGAGTTGAGCGATTGAAATACATATCTTTTGAATACTCACGTGTCAAAGTCCAACTCATATGCCGGCCTTTCCTCCTTATAAATCTTTCATTTCTTGATTTATTTTTCCTATCCGAGGTTTTTAGTACTCTTGAATACATAACATAAAAACCATACAATTGACTCGTCTCTCTCTCATTCTCTTTCTACAAGCCTTTTCCTTGTTGCTTTCTTCTTTGTTTATTACATTGTCTGTTGATTCTTGAAATGGGCTTACACATGTTAGTTTATGCATTCTTGATCTTTTATCCTCTTTTCTTGATATGGAGGTGGATCGATGGGAAAAGAGACCAAGAATGTTACATTCTTGATTATGAGTGTTATAAACCAACTGATGATAGAAAGCTTGACACCGAGTTTTCTGGTGAAATAATAAAGAGAAGCAAGAATCTTGGTCTAAATGAGTACAAGTTTCTCTTGAAAGCCATCGTAAGTTCTGGCATTGGAGAGCAAACTTATGGTCCGAGAATGATTTTCGCCGGGCGAGAAGAAAATCCGACATATGAAGACGGGATACTGGAAATGGAAGAGTTTTTTCAAGAAAGTATTCAAAAACTCTTATCAAGAACAGGCATTTCTCCTCAAGAAATTGATGCTCTTGTTGTCAATGTATCAATGCTTTCTGCAGTGCCTTCTTTGTCAGCTAGAATCATAAATCATTACAAAATGAGAGAAGATATTAAGGTTTTTAATCTTACTGGTATGGGTTGTAGTGCGAGTCTTATATCTGTCAACATTGCTCAAAATCTTTTCAAGACTTACAAGAATTCATACACACTTGTCATTACTTCAGAATCTTTAAGCCCTAATTGGTATGCAGGAAATAATAGGTCAATGATTCTTGCAAATTGCTTGTTTCGCTCTGGTGGTTGTGCAATCCTTCTGACTAACAAAAGGGCTTTAAAGCACAAAGCAATGTTCAAATTAAAATGTTTGGTTAGAACACACCATGGAGCCAGAGATGACTCATATGATTGTTGTCTTCAAAAAGAAGATGAACAAGGCCGTGTAGGGTTTCATTTAGGCAAAAATCTACCAAAAGCAGCTACAAGAGCTTTTGTTGATAATCTTAGGGTGATTTCACCAAAGATCTTGCCAGTAAGAGAGTTGCTAAGGTTTTTAATAGTTTCATTTATTAAAAAATGGAGCAGCCAAATAAGGTCTTCCTCTTCTTCTAAAGGAGGCGAAGATCGAGCAGTTATAAACTTCAAGACCGGAGTAGATCACTTCTGTATCCATACCGGAGGGAAGGCGGTGATAGATGGAATAGGAGTGAATCTAGATTTAACGGAATACGATTTAGAGCCAGCAAGAATGACTCTACATAGATTTGGAAATACTTCAGCATGTAGTCTTTGGTATGTGTTAGCATATATGGAAGCAAAGAAAAGATTAAAGAAAGGAGATAGAATTTTGATGATAAGTTTTGGTGCAGGCTTTAAATGTAACAGCTGTTTATGGGAGGTGGTGAGAGATTTAGATGGTAGTAATGTGTGGAAAGATTGCATCAATGACTACCCACCAAAAACCCTAACAAATCCTTTCATGGAGAAATATGGATGGATTAACAATGAAGATGAGAGTACCTTTGCTGTTCCTTCTTGAAGATTCTAAGAAAGAAAGAAAGAAAGAAAAAATACAAGGTAAGGGATTGTTTCTTGCACAAACTTGCAATAGCTTTTATTACTTCTTTAAAGGTTACAGTATTTTTCTTTCTTTCTTTTTTTTTTTTTTTAAAAAAAAACAAGTTACCTTTCTTTGTTTCTTTCTTTTTTAAGTTAGATTTTAGTTTTAATTTGTATACTTTATATTTATTGTTTGTGTTAATTAATTGTTATTATTATTATTGTTGAATCATTTATGTGAATTTGATTACACCCAATAATGTACGCTTCTTTCAATATAATGAAAAGTTTATTACGTTGGTTGCTATTTTTCTTTTTTTGTAACATCATTTTTACAAAAAGGAAACAAAAACAAAAATAGAAATAGGAGTCTCATTTTGGAGTATACATCTCTCACTATTTTTATTTTTTTTATTATTTATTAGGCGGTTCGACGAACTAGAATATTTTAACTATACATTAGTCCTCCTCATCAGCTATTCTTTTATATTGGTGAAGGAGATGTTGCTTTTTCACCTGACCCTCAACTCATGCTGTTGTACTTGAGGTTGTTAATGTTTTGAAGCATTAGTATTAAAGGCAAACTAATTGCAGGACCAGTGGATGGCCCCAAAAGAGAGAATGGCGGTGCTTTTTGGTACTTGTAGAACAGCAAAAAAATTGCACAGAAAAATCTGTATCAATTCTGGTTTTGTTTTTGTATGCTTCCTAGCTTTGAAAGATAGTCTGAATCAGACTATATTTACATAAAACCCATATATATAAAGTTTTTTTAATTTCAAACAATAAAATAAAAAACAAATGTTAATTCTAACAAAATTAGGCTCATTATTGAGGTTGTATTCGGCAACAATTTTTTAAGTAATTTTTAATTAAAACGTTAAACGCTACTTAAAAAATTGTTCGATAACATAACGTTTGAACTAGCTTTTAGAAGTTAGAGTAACGTTTTATGAAAAATTTACTTATAACCAGAGTAATATATATACACACAAAAATTTAATGGCAAGAATTATTTCCGAGCTATGGTTCAGTAGTGAGCAGGGTAGTTTGATCTTGACTATCGTATTTGAATGAGTGGTTGCAACAGATAATTGGTTTTTTCAGTTACACCTTAATTCATTCATGAATGTTTAATAAATACATATCAAAATGGCAAGGAATTTTTATTTTCAATGTATTGCAGATCTATACATTAAACTAATAAAAAATAATATATCATAATTCTTTTGTTTATCAATAACTGATGGAGTAATAAAAAGAGAAATAGAAGGAATAACGGCTTGGATCTTATATAAATGTTCAATCTCCACTGAAAGTGAAGTTTACAGCGCTGCAAAATTTTTTTTATTAAATTATATAATTATACATTAAACAATAAATAATATAATCAATAATCTTTTGTTTATCATAACTGAATGGCAGTAATAAAAAGAGAAATAGAGGAATAACGGCTTGGATTCTTATTAAATGTTCATCTCCACTGAAAGTGAAGTTTTACAGCGGGCTGCCAAAATTTTTTTCTATTAAGATTATATATATATATATATATATATTATATATATAAAGAAAACTTATATATAAAGAAAACTACATGTAGGACATGAGAAATCAAAATCAAAGAATATCATTTCAAAATTAACGGAGAGCTTTAATTAAAAGTAATTGAGAAAACTTATCTTTCGATTTAGTTAAATTTTATACAGTGCAATTGAATTGAAACATAATTGAAACCCAATTGTCTTTTACTTGAAAGAATCCTGCCTTTGTAACCACACCATGTTGCCCTAATTGAAACATATTAATTGATATATTAATTGATTTTTAAAAATTAAATGGTAAAAATTCAACAAGATTAGTTTATTGATAAAGAAGAGTTTTTCCTTATATAATTAGGGTTTGACAACATTATTAGAAAGCACTATATAAACAATATATAAAGCAAAAAGGAAAAATAAATATTACAAGAACAAAAAGGTGTATGTGTGTGTGCTATTAATAAACATACAGCTTGTGCCAGTGCCCAACTCTTTATTGCAGCATTAAAAATCACTGGCCTTTATCAACTTTCGGCCACAGTGGTCGCAACTTTTTCTAATAAATACTGCCGTTATTTTAAAATAATCAATAATCTGAAAAATAATTCTCCTGAAAAAAGTAATAATCTGAAAATTAAAATCATTTTTTTTTCAATTTGTTTACACCAAATACTGAATTTGTTTTTATTTTGGGTCCAACGTGGGTCCACATCTACTTACAAGAAAGGAACTGTTATTTTAATGTGTCCGTTCACAAGTTCATATGGTTCTGAGTGTATATATATGAATTAATATTATTTTAAGATTATCATTGACTTTTTTTATTATTACGTAAAGAGTATTCTACATATCGCTATATCATGCGCGAGTGTTATTACAAAAGATAAAAAAAAAAAAAAAAAAATAAAAAAAAAAAAAAAAAGAAAAAGAAAAAGAAAACTTGGTCCAGTAGGCCCTTGTGTTTGGGGCAAAGAAGGAAAGAGAAGAGAGAGAGAAAAAAAAAAAAAAAAAGAAAAAAAAAAAAAAAAAAAGAAAATTTGTATTATGAAAATTTACATTTTGATTTCTCGAAATATAAAAAATTATATTCCACCCTCCAAAATTACAAAAAGTTTCGTTTCATTCTCCAAATTATTTTTTTTTTAGTTTCACCCCTGATTGGAAATCCCAAACGTGCGAGATATATACCATTTGATGCATAACATAAAACTATTACAACTAAAAAATTCTACTATCATTATGATAAACATTTGCTAGCACTATTAATATATTATTAATATTTTGATAACACTAATAATGAATTGTTATGAATGTATATATCTGTTATTAATTATTATGTTCAATAACAACTATATAATTACATTAAATTAATAATTATTAAATATATAAAATGTCTATCTTAGTGATAGAACCTTTCAATATCGCGTTATTATTTAGTATATTTAAAATTTTCAACTAAAAGAAAGAAAGCTTTGAAATATGTCATTTATGGTATTATGTCATGTTATTTATTTTTGTGAGTTATATTTGTATTAGAGAATTTTGAGTTATTACAACTATTAACTTATTATATTCTGTTCATAATTCAAATGATTTTTTTATTGTTTAATTACAATATTGAAATTAATTAAAAAAATACTAAAACTTTAAATTTATATTTATCATCATCTAAATTTTATATTTTAATATATTTTTGTTAAATATGAAAATATATAAAAATGATAAATTATGTTATTTGCCGATCCCGGGTTGATAGGTGGCAACCGCCAGTAAAAATTTTTATTTTCCGGAAAATAAGCTATAAAAAAAAATAATTGTTGGCGAAAGTAATAACAATGCCACAAATTTAGCTCTACACCAGAATTGTTGGCCTAATTAAATGGTTCAAACTGGATCACCACCAAATTTTCGGTGATGCCCATAGCCAAATCATCCGGTGGGGTTTCCAATCTATTTAATGTCAAAATCAATACCGCACGTTGCACGAATTGCTCTGTTTACTCTATACTTTATTTTGGAAAATTTTTCTATTGATAAATTTACTAAATAAATAACGAAATAACAAATAAGATTGCATACTACAAATTGTACATTCTCTTCCTTGCAGGTTCTTCATAGTTCTCTTGTTCTTAGAGGCAAGCTGCTAGTTCCAATTTCAATTGATATTCTCTTACTGTAAAGTAGAAAATAAAAAGCAGTTTCTCACTCTAAGTCTTCAGTTTTCAGACCAACAAAAAAGGAATGTTACTAAAAAAATAAATAAATTTATATAGCCACCTTTAATCCTTTTGATCATCAGATATCGGAATTCTCTCCACAAATAATATAGCTATTTAGTCCCTTTGATCATCAAAAATTGGAATTCTCATAAATGACCGCTGAAGCACCTCCATCCTTCTCCTTCTCCACTCATAGTATGAGATAAATACTATCTAATATTTAAGTTTTAGGTACAGTTCGTAATTCAAATAATTTGTTAACGTATGATTATATATATGTTTTAGATATATAGGTATAGATAGATTAGAGTTTGATTATGCTAGAAAGCATGTTAGTTTAGGAATAATATTATTTGCTTCATTCCATTAATTTTGTTACTTTTTGATTTTTTTTTTTTTTTTTCATTTAGGATGACATTTTTAGAAAATGAAATAGCATTTATTTTAATTTTATCTTTGTCTAGATATTTACATTAAACTTTGTTTTAATTAAATGAGCATTTATTAATGAGGTAAATTAGCTCATTATTCTTATTTTTTCTAAAATTGAGATAATTTAATCATTTTCTTAATTATTATGAAAAGTAAAAAGCTGATAAATTTAATGAAACGGAGGAAAGTACTCCCTCCGTCCCATTTTGTTTGCTTGTTATTCATTTTTTGGATGTCCCAGAATATTTACAAGATTTTTAAATTTAGATAGATAAACAATTATTTTTCTCATAATAATTTTTATAATTGTTCATTAAAAGAAGAATTTTTAAGAATTTTTATTAATATCTTAATGAATTAAAAGTTAAATAACTTTTGTTGATTAAATCCTTAATATGTCTGTTTTGTCAAACCATGCAAATAAAATGGAGTAGAGAGAGTTTATTTTTAAATGTCTATTTTAATTGTTGGGAATGAAACCAGTCGATTAAGAAAATTTATTTAAAAAATTATTCTACTTTAATAATTATATTTATATATTTATTTGTGTAGAATTATATGGATAAAAAGATTGACAAGGCCAAATTCACGTGGTATGTTGTTGAGATTCTGTTATTTGAAAATAAAAGCATTTATTGGCCGCTTCTTATTGCACATTGATAAGTGATTATTTTATTTTAAAATAAAATTTATTTTAAAAAATAATAAATGATGTTTTTTCAATATTACTCTTATTTATATTAAATACAATACTATTTTCATAAATTATCATTGATTTTATTATAATTTAGGAAAATTAATTCATTTCTTACAAAAATTTTAAACGATTTATATTTTGAGTAATTTTAAGTCATTAATTAATAATTATCACAATCCCTTTATAATTTTATGTTTGTGGGTTCATATTCATTTGGTAGTTATGATTTAAGAGTTATGACCACTAGTTTTTATAAATGCTTCAACAAGAAATGTGGCCCATTTTGCACTGTCTGTATTTTTTTTTTTTTTTCATAATCTTATCGTAATAATGTCTTTTAAATTATGAATATATTGAAATTTATCGTGCATGTATACGTCTTTTAAATGATTTTAGTCAACTTTTGACATTTTCAATTCATTTTAAATGGTTGAATTTGATTTTCTTAAGTAGCAAAAATTTTAACCATTAGAAATTAAATATTAGTTTTATTTATATTAAATATGAAGATGTATTGTAATACAATTGAATTTATAATTTCAAAACTCGTTGGTTTAATTTAATGAAAATATAGATTATATGTATATATATATATATATCATTATGTATTTTGATTTTTTAAAAATTAAATTTTTTTATTTTTATATTGTTTGCATAAAAATTATTTTTCATAGCAAAATTTTCTTTTGTAATTGAGAATAAAAATAAAAAAATCAAAACAACAATTTTATTGATAATCATAGCAATAATCAACTGAACTCATAATTGTACAAGATGAGATAAACGGAAAGTTTTGTAAGCTTGAGTTTAAATAAAGTTGAAAATCAAATTTAAACTTAGTTCTTTTATAATTTATAGTTAAAAATAAATTATCTTTTATATGCTCTAACTCGAGATTGAGCTCAATTCGTTTATTCTCCATTCTTAAATTTATGAACAACTTTAAAGGAGCTAATTTTAAAAGAATATTCAATTGCGGTCCTAATGAAACTTCGTATTGATTTTACACTGAATTTTTTTCTCATTGTTAGTTGCCGAGTTAGTTTGTATTAAGTAAGGTTAGAGTATTCCAAATCGGAACTTTATTTTTGTAAAAACATAAAAGCAGATATGAAGGCTTTGGTAACAGGTGTATTGGGTGTTACAACGGTAGAGACCCTCGGTCAATACTTAGGTTTACCCTCACTAGTTGGTCGAAATAAGTCTGAAGTATTTGCTAATCTCCAAGATAAAGTATGGAAAAGATTATCAAGTTGGAGGAGTGTCATACTCTCACTGGCAGGGAAGGGGATATTGCTGAAGATTCAAGCAATTTCGAACTATTTAACGACATTATTCCTTCTTCAAGGAGATATTTTTGATATAGTGGAACGAGCTATGAATCAGTTTTGATGGCGAAATGGAGGGGCTGATGGTTTTGGTATCCATTGTATATCCTGAAGTAAATTACATCGAAGGAAGGAAGATGGAGGCATCAGGTTTATATCTTTGCGTCAGTTAATATAGCTTTGTTGGCCAAAATAGGCTAGAATTTAATGACAGGACCTGACGCACTTTGTTAGTCCATTGTATAAGGCATGGTATTATACGGATTCAAATTTCCTGCATGCAAAAATCCCAGCTATTTGTGGTGATCGATTTGTGCAAGTCAGGGGGGTGTCTGAGGAGGATCGAAAATGGGCGGGGTACCTTAGTTTAAAATACATCCTGGCTCCCAGATATTGCTTCGCGTTATATTCACTCTATAAAAACAACGGGGATTAATGAGATATGTGTTGGAGATTTAATGGTTCCAAACCGGAGAAAATGGGACACTGAACTTCTAGAGGAGTTGTTTACAGCAGAAGAGGCCCAGCTCATCCAACGAATTTCATTAAGTTTTACAACTGGGGAGGGCCCTATACCATAAGGAGTGGATATAGACTTTTATATCACCAATCTTTCAATGCTAGTATTGTGTCTCAATCACTATGTAGCCGAGTTTGGAATATTCAGGCCCCACCAAAGGTTCTGAATTTTGTATGGCGGGCTATCTCTAATATATTGCCTATTAGAGCATCTTTGATCATAGCTAAAAGAGTCCCTATTACCGATTTATGTCCTACATGTATTGGGAGCTTGAAACTGTGATTCACTGTGATTTGGCTAAGGAATGTTGGAGTTGGTCTACTGTAGGGTGGTGGGGTGCAATGTGTAGCTTTGAGGAGTGGTTTCATATTGTGTGAGTCGCTAAGCAACAGGTACAGGAGGCTGCTATACTGGTGTGGGATTGTGGAATGCACGAAATAGAGTGGTATGGAATATTAGATGGTCAACCGCAGTAGCGATACTCAGGAAAGCAACTACTTTTCTTCATGAATGGCAGGTTCTGCAACTAAAGCCTGTTGTTCATATTGTTCCTGTTGTGGTTTTCGAAACAAAACGGAGACCACCTATTGCTGGAGTCAAATGTAACATTGATGCAAGGTTTGAGGATGGTACATGGGCAACAGGCGACAGGACGTTGGTGAGGGATAGCACGGGTTATTTTTTAGGAGGAAGAAGCTAAAGTCTCGGGTATGTGCAAAGCTCAGTGGTGGCGGAAGTCATGGGGTTCGTGAAGTTGTGAGTTGGCTTAAGGACAATTATTTACAAACTCATATAACGCTTGAAACGGATTGATTGGTAGTCAAGCAAGCTTTGGACAGTAATGTAGTGAATTATCCTTATTTTGGTTCTTTGATTCATTATTGTAAATCTCTTTGTAAAGTAATTGCATTATTTTCATTTTCTTTTGTTAAAAAATCAGCAAATCAAGTTGTCCACGTGTTAGCATAAATTACTGATAACACAAATTACTGGTTCTATGCCTGATTTATTAGAGTCAATATACACCCTTTAAATATTATTCATAATGTACTGCTTTTGGATTCTAATAATTGTTAAGCAGTTATTCATTTAAAAAAAAAAGATTAAATTAAATGAACCACCAAATTCGTAAAAATATAAAAAATGAAATGTATATTTTAAGCAATTTACGGTATTGATTCTGCTAAAAAATTAAATTTACCTCATGGAATTTTTTTTTTTTTTTTGTCACTATGTTTTTTATTTTTATCAATCTCTATATTTCCGATTATGTACTATATTTATACCCATCAACTTTTTAATTTTAAAATATGCATGAATTTATTCTATGATTAATTAAAACAAAAAAAATGAGAAATTCATCATGAATTGTTTAAAAATACTCATATTTGAATTGATTGAAGATCGTAAAAGTTGTTAAATTTTCTTTAGTTACATGTATTTTTTTTGACATTTCTTTAGTTACATGTATTATTTTCACCTTACAATTTTATAATATTTTTTCCAAGGAATAATACTAATCATTTTTTTTTAAATTAAAACTACATAGAAAGAAAAACTCTTAGTGTTTAGTTTGGATTAATGAAAAATTATGGATTTCACGAAATCCAAGAGATATAATATTTATAAATTTTATATTTCATTAAAATATCTGTTCCAAAATATAAGTCGTTTTAAATATTTTAAAAAATAAAAAATAATATTTTTCTAATTTTACCATTATTTATAATAAAATATAATATAATGATGTGAGATAATTTAATCAAATTACTCTTGATTTTATTAAAATTTAATAAAATTAATTATTTCTTTAATCTTATACAAAAATCTTAAACGACTTATATTTAGCGACCGAAAGAGTATTTAGTTAAAAAAATAGAATTCACAAATTTAAAGAATATTTATTAGAAAAAATTAGATAGTTTAAATTTCATTATCCATAAAAAAAAAAATGATGAAATGAGAAAATTTATGCAATGAAATTATTGTCGAGTTTAAAATGATGAAAATGATGCCATAATATGAATTTATTAATTTTATAAGTCATGCCAATTTTTTCTTTAAAAAAAATGATAATATAATCTCTCAAATTCCATAAAATTCATCACTCATATTCTATCACTTGCATAATGTTTAGACAAATTGTTGAGATGGTACTTGAGTCTTTGTCACGTAACACGAACGCCAAACGTTGAAATCTACAGATTCTGCAAGGATATCCGTTGTTTTTTTTTTTTTTTTTTTTTTTTTTTTTTTTTTTTTTTTTTTTTACGCCAAAACTGAATCTACAGATTTGCAAGGGATATCCGTTGTTTTTTTTTTTTTTTTTTTTTTTTTTTTTTTTTTTTTTTTTTTTTTTTTTTTTTTTTTTTTTTTTTGAGCACTTTCATCAAACAGTTGGTGTGCTTGTGGCATTTCTATGGAGAAAGCCAAATTCAAGCTTCTGTTCTCATGCCCTTCTGGTCTCTCACCTTCTCAGGTTCTCCTTTTTCCTCCTTATCACTACGTCTTAACAAACGCGTATATACATTTTATATACGTCTGTGCCGTGCATTTATATTGATCTATTTTTTTTTAATGATGAACTAAGGTATCCGTTGATTTTGATCAATCATACGATAGAATTCCCCATCCTGATGTCGAATTAGAAAACTCCATTGCTAAGGTGAGTGAATTTTTTCTGCTGGCTAATGTTTGTTATATTGTTCTGTTAAAAGGGAAATTAAATTAGTTCATTGAGTTTTTATTTAAATTTGGACTATTTTGATATTTTCCCCCTTCACTTATCGATTTAAATCATCAGATATTTGTGAATCCAGCAACAGTATTAGAGCAGTTATTATATTGATCATATACAGAGTTATGATCTTAGCATCAACGTGGGCATTGAAATTGTGTGTTAAATTTGTATAGAGTTAAAAATAATTATGGATTATTTTTGGTGTTTTTTTCATTTATAAATTTTTGAATAGATATGGGATCAAAGGGCACAGAAGAATTCATCATTGTACAATGGAAAAAAATTCCGGGTATGCTGATCCAATTAGTTGTCGACTTTGTTCCAAATATACGATTAAATATTTAATGTAGTTCTAACAAATTATACTGATGGTTTGCATCGTTTAATTAGCACGATATGTGACTTTTGTATTATATTTCATTTCATCAAGCAGATTAGAATAAAATGTCTTCTGTTATGCATTTTGGTTAACAGAAACTTCATAATGCCACCAGCTAGTGCACACATGATTGGATATATTGTGATTTACTTTGTCAAAAGACACAAAACTAACACCAGCATATTGGCATTTAATCTGTTACTTTTACTAGAACCAATTTAGTTCTGCAGCTTTTTAAATGACCTTTTTTAAGAAAGTGGGGGAAATTAGAATTTCATTAAATAGTCAAGTTGGCGAAAGCAATGTCATTATGAACAAAGGTACAATGTATAAGCATCCAGAGGAACGTTTTCCATTCAGATATACTGAGTTGTTCTTGTAAGCTACTTTATTGCAATGTCTTCTATATTTTTAAAATGCAGGAGAGATCAACGTATTGATAAGACTAGGCATTAACTTATTGCAGTGATATTAAAACGAAAAAGTCTATCTACCGTTTTTGGTAATGGCATTTGATGCCTTAGTCATAAATGCATTAGTACAATGAGGACCTGCATTTATTCTACATATTTAATCTTTTAATGCTTATGGTTTTATATTGCTTATCGTTTACTTCTCTAACAACTTTACAGTATGGAGGGTATAATGTCCTTAGTGGGGGTGGATCAAATCAAGATTCTCATATATGCCTCCACCTTGGTTTGACAGATTATAGGTCTCTATCTCTCTCTCTCTCTTGTTGTGTGGGTGTCATCTACATAATCCATAAATGCTACATAAAAAATAAAAGTTTATAATTGATGTAAACCAGTAAATGCTAGTAATATTTGTTAAATTTTGCACACAGTTCAAGTTGGCTTCTTGCAGTTACTGCTGGACGTTGCAGTTGGTCTCACATTTATGAACTCAATAATACATAAATGTGCCTGTTAGGTCGCTGATCATTTTACATGTTATCTCTGAGAATGTGATGTCAGTTTTATTGGAGTAGGCTGCTGAAAGATTCGCAAAATATTATTCCATTCCATCATTGCTGAAACATGGTTTTGTAACAACTGATTGATTTTTGAAATATTATATTATCATAGGTTAGTTAATGCATAAGTTAAATGCCCGTTATCAGAAATAAGAATCATTTGCACATAGTCTTCTGTTTCCTCTGTTTTTTGTTTTTGGTCTGAAGCTTGTTCCCTATTTTATTTTAATGAATCAAGGGTTGCCTTTGGCATAAGTCTTATCTGATCTGCCTATTTATTAATTGGCACAATGGAACACAGCTGCTTATATTTATATTCAGTATTTTTCTTTTTCCTCCATAACAAAGACTTTATACTATGTTCTGCTACACAGGACTTTTGTTGGGACAAACTTAAATCCTTTGTGGGAAAAGTTCCTTGTTCCATCAGAAGGTATTCTTTGCTACTTATTATTCAGAAAGTTCATCAGAGAAGAGAGAGTTAATTTTTTTGCCTACTCAATTGTTTGACACTCCAGCGTTTTTGCTAGTCTACTACTACTGTGTCAATGATACACATGAGCTCACAAATGTCTTTTCTCTTCTCCTTTGTTGTCCTTAGAATTTTTTGCAGTTCTAAGATGATTAGTTTATTTTGGTGGGGTTTGTGAACAATAAAGAACAAAAGCGTCTGACTGAATTTTTATATTTTGTGTTAAAACAAAATCATACAAAAGATATACACAAATGGATTTGGTTATTGGACCACACTTGCTTCGTCATGTAAGGATTGGGGATCTATAAAATGCCTTTGGGATGAATATGGATTTAAAGTTGGGGATCTATAAAATGCCTTTGGGATGAATATGGATTTAAAGTAAATACTCATTTTGGGTTCCAATTTAGAGCATTGGGACTCTGCTACTTGAAACTGTTTTTTAAATTATTATTTTATGTATAGCTGACTATTATTATGAGATTATTTGCAGGCTTCGGAGTTTGGAGTATATATCAAATTAAAAAACCAAGAATTTGAAATATTTTTTCAGATTATTAGTATCACTAAAAAATATAATTAATAATTGTAAATAATATTTTACAATAATTTTATATATTATATATATTATATATATGATGGAATATATTGAGTGGATTCAAGTAGTAAGCAGATAAGGTTAATTGGATTTGGGACAGGTACATTACAATTGATAAATTTTAACTAGGTTCAAGTAAGAGTAAGGCAATTTTTGTATCTTACTTGTTGCCATCTTAAATAAGTACTAACTGTTTTACTTTGAAGTTGCTAATCTGAATTTCTTTTTAATTGAATATATATGCATGTCTTGTTCTGTGACAGCTGAAAAAATCTTTCTGGACCTTTTTGTAATCCAGCGGCATTTTTAAGTCAATTATTTTAAGCATCTACAGCTTTGCTTATTTGCAGATGACCATATACATTGTCAACATATGTCAAGCCCTCTCGGTAATGGTGCAGTTGTAGAGACATCTGACAAGAAAATAGTTGTGTTGCAAAGAAGTTCTAATGTTGGGGAATTTCCTGGGCATTTCGTTTTTCCTGGAGGCCATCCAGAGGTACAAAAGACACATTTCACTCTTTGTTTTAGTTGCGATCAGTGGTTGAGGATATTCATTCTGTGATCTATTTTGCCCTTTGGTATTTTCCATTGGGAGAATGTTCACTGGCTAAATCTTGTCCCATCTATTCAAAGTGATTAGATGCAGGGTTTTTGTGCTTCTGTTATTCTTTGGCAGTTAATGTTGATTTCTGGACTTTTGGTGCAATTGCAATTTTCTGATGATTGACAGCCTGAGGAAGTTGGAATAACTTGTCATCAGAGCAGCAAAGATCTTACAGACTCTAAGATGATTAGCAGTAAGGTTTCACAAGAAATGTTTGACAGTATTATTCGCGAAGTGGTCGAGGAAATTGGAGTACCAGCAACATCTCTTGTAAGTTATAGTTTTTAAATTTTTTTTTTCTTCATTTATCTTCTGGTACTTTTATCATGGTGGTAGTAAGCAGTGTTTATCTTTCTCCTTTTTCGGTTTCCAATATTTTTTTATTATAAAGGGGTTGCATTCAAAAATTATTAATATGGAATCATCGGTTTCATATGGAAAGATGCAGAATATCACTAATTCTATTATAGACTATTAGTGGAGAGAAAATAAAATGCTTTGTGGATGCCTATAAATGTTTTACTCTGCCAACAATAACTTCAAAAATATCAGCCTTTCACAAATGTTCTTGAACTGACTATATGTCTCTGGATATCTGACTTTTTGCTCAGGTTATGAGACATTTACCCTACCCATATTAGTTGCATGAATATGGATATTGCCGTTGGCATACTTTTGTTGTTATAGAATGAGCTATTGGAACAATCCCAACACTTTATGCCCAATCTCTTATGCCTGGCCTAAAAGGAGAATGAGTCCTCAAGAGAATTATGAATAAAGGCCTGCGGCCACTGCCATACAATACTATTGAGAGAAAACATGTTTTGCTCTTGATTGCTTGAAAGTTAATGATGCAATTCTTTTGTATGGGTTCTATGGTATACAAAATTGTATAAAATTTCCAAAAAGGTATCTAAAGATTAGCTTTTTATTTGCTTGCAGTGCAATGTACGTTTTATTGGTATATCCTGTCGAGTGTTAAATGTTAGACCTGCTGCCTTTTTCTCCATCAGATGCCACCTTGGATCAGAAGAAATTCATCAACTGTATCACAATGCTCAAGATGGCTATGAATCGACCCAACTTTTTACAGTTTCATTGGTCAGTTCAAATTTTATGCTTTCAGTTGATGCCCAAAATTGGTTACATTTTTCTTGACCCAATCTTGAGATGTAAAAGGTGGGATAGATGTGGATGGAAGGTGTCAGTAGTGTAGCAATGGTTGTGATGCAGTAAAAATTTCGATAGTGGCATGGAATGCAGCAGTATTTGTACTAGGACTCTAAGGCTGATTCAGCTGTTAGTAGCTTGAGCTATGATGCTTGATGGTTCATTACCATATACAATATGTGTACTTCTCTTGTGGGGGGGTTGCAGGAGGAAGAAGTAGGCTATTACTGAGTACTTGTTAATATTTTATTTGATTTGCCTTAGGAGTCACCATAAGTATCACATAAGGTTTTACAACAATAAAACTCTTGGTTTACATGGAATAACCTTAAAAATCGATAGATAAATCATAAATTTAGTTGTGGGGTGCTATGGGAAAAAGATTAGAGTTGAAATCCAACTTTAATATTTTGAATGGTCCTATAGAAAATTATTTAATTCTATATGTTGATTCATTGGTATATATAATTACTCATCAGGTGTTTCTACATATCAGATTGATTTAGAAAACATGGCATCTAAAATGCCTGGCTGCCATCAAGGTGGATTTGCTCTCTATAAGCTGATGGTGGAAGCTCTGAAGGATACCTGAATACTCAACACTGCTGAACAATTGTTAGTCTGCAGCACCATCAGTATGCTTTAGTCTTGGCTTACATGCACAAACATGATAATGTAATTATATTTCTCCTTGCAATTTTATGCTACTGCTACAACATGTGTTTAGTGCTGGTTTAATCCACTGCTGTCTTGGAACCCACATTAGATGTTAAAACTTTATGTTACTTGCATCAATTACATTGAACAACGTCAATTATATAAATGAACTAGTATCATTTTACCAGGAAATGATTTTCTTATTTAGATAGTTCTACTTGCATAAAGTGCATAAAAGTCTGCTCAATGCGTGCTTAATTGCTTACATCTCTCCATTTTTGTTTTTATCTGAGATTCTGGGTTTTCACGTAATACTTTAATCCTATCCTGGAAAGTTTGTGGATGATTCAGAAATATAAAGAATTTGAATAGCTCACTGCCAGCTACATGGGGCTAAAAATTTTTTAGCCATGCGGTTAGGAGCAGTTTGTCTGGTTAGGACTTAGGAGTGGGGAATATTGCAAGAATTGTGTAGTAATGACAAATATTTGCATGAAATAATGGCTATTTTTTACAGGAACTGGTATGGAATGGAGCAGAAAGTAGAAACTCATTTCTTTTGAATTCTGGCTTTTGTGGAACCCACTTTCTTGGTTGTGAGGATATTAGCTTTCCATTTTATTGAAGTTAGAATCTGAGTTCATATCAAAATGCTATTTTTGTATTTTTAGTTTGGTTGAGTTGGTGATTATCTTTGGTTTCAAAATGAGAAAAGGACTAGTATCATTTTATTTGCTTTGTAATGTGTATTGTTTTGTTCAGGTCACAATCACATGTATGATGGTCTGACTGGTTCTGCCTGTACGGTCAATAATAGTAGCTAAGCGTCCAATCCATTATTATTAGAGAAGACCGACTCCTGAGTATAGATAAATGCATGGTTTTAAATATAATTGTAACAGTGAATCATGGAGAAGTTCTGAGCCATACAAACTGATCGAACTGAATTAATTTGGTTCAATTTGGTTTTTAACACAAAATTTGGTTCAGTTTTCATAGATAAAACCTGAAATTTTATTTCGATTCTAAAAAAATAGGCTCAAAATCGTAAAAAGAAATAGCTAAATTCGATCAAACTGGGCTGATACAGTTCGATTTGAACCAAAAATCTTAGTTTGTTTGATTTGTTCTATTTTGGTTAAATTTTGAAAGGAATCAACTGTTTGCATAACAGTGACTATTACGTTTATTTTTTATTTAAAAACTTTGGTATAAAAATATTTCTGGTCAATGATGTTAATAGTGAATTTGATAATATTTTAAGAGAGTGAGTGATTTTGCTGATACAAGTTTGACATTTTATACATTTGACTGATACATTGAATAATTATAAATGAAACGGAAATTAACCCAAATCTTCCATCACCTGTCCTCCCTATGATCAGAAGTGCAGATTTCCACATAAAGTCATAAAGAACACACCAATGTCAATAGAACTGCAAGTCATTTCCGAAAATTAAAAAAATATATATATTTACTTTAACAAATTTCATGATTCAATGTCAAATTAAACAATGCTTGAAAATATATGAAGTCTTTTATTATACAATTAAAAGCTAGAAAAAAGGGTTTAGGTAATAGAGGCAATGTCTTTTTCCTTGACATTATGAAACCAGCCACAATAAAATATAATGACATTTTTGGGTTTGTTATAATAACCACTGACTATTGAGACTTTGAAAAATCCTTAGAAACTTCGAGTCGCCTTTGCATTCGGACATTTTAAAATATTTTTCAATTGGAGTAGATCCAACAGATACAGGAGTTGTCCATAAATGCAATACGGCATGTAAGATCCACATATGTGATAAATAGTAGCGAGTCGAACGCTTTATGATTTCTGTATATTCAGATGATGTCTACTTTCAATGTCTTATCTAGAAGCTTTGACCTTTTAATCTTTCTGTGACAATAGTGAGGACCATCTACTGAATTCTGAATGGGTTTTGGTATACATTGCCTTTGATAAAGACAGTAAATACTATCATAGGCTATCTCATGGTCAGTAAATAGCTCCCACAACTCTCATAATTGACTTGAAAGAAAGGTTTGAATCTTTACTCATATCATATATGCATGAACCTATCAGTTGATAAGTCTTTTAGAGCATTTATTTGTTGCTTAGTGTAAATACTCATATCATATATTCAGATAATTATAATTTATAATTTAAATTTATTAAATTAAAATTTTAATTCGGTAAATAATCAAATTTATTGAATAATCTAATTTAACTGAATTGAAATATTTTGACTGATTAACCAGTTAATTCGATTAATAATAAATCGAAGGAATTTATTAAATGGAACTGCAATCAAATTCTTGTTTGCTAAAAAACAATCGAATTTAATTGATTTTTTGTTCAAATATTCAAATATAACAGTATAAATAATGCAAATTCAAGTGGTAGCTAGGCATTTACACACATTTATGATAATTGCCACCAAGTTAGTATTTGAGAAAACTTCTAGAAGCTTAGCAGCAAACGAACCATTTGCTTCAGAGAAAAATTTTAAAATTAAAAAAAAAAAAAAAAAAAAAAAAAAAAAAAAAAAAAAAAAAAAAGCTTATGAAGAAATCATAGTGATTAATTGATTAATTATGAAGAAAAAATATGTAACAGATAAGTCAACTTCAATTAGTCAATTACAAATTTCACCATGAAAGTGATAAGTTTCTAAAAAATCTATGATTATATTACACGTCATTATGTTTATTATAATGAGAATGACAAAGCAATCGAACCAGTAGGTTTAGAGGTAGTATTTTACGCAATGATGTTTGGTTTACACGACCAAGAAACCATTCCACCCTAACCCTGACCCTGTCACAAACATCACATGCTTTGTGCACGTGCAGTTAATGCCAAATTATTAAATTTTTTTCTTCTATATATAATTTTATAATATAATTTTATATCATTTTTAATTATTCAGATAGAATCATGATCAAAATTATAAGCAGTAAGGGTTTTTTTAGTTAATAGGAAGTTATTAAAATGCACCGGAAGAATATTATAAACTACATAACAAAAATTAGTTTTCTTCGCTGCATAACGTTTACTAAATTAATAATAATTTTTGTGTTGAATAGAACTCGAACTTGAGACATGATTGATCTTATTTTCTTATTGAATAGAAAGACCAACACCTTTCTTTATTGACATTAAATGCTTTTTTTTTATTATTTTAACTAAATTTTAGTTGATATAATTAAAAATTATGGAAGGAAAAGCAATAAGCCTAAAATGATGCATGTGAAAAAGCTGTGGGGTGGCATATTTTGGATAAAAGATTTTGGGGCGCAAATGGTGCTTTGTTAAAGGTTAAACAATAATAGAATGCTTCTTCTTTAATATGTAAGCAATAAGTGTACTTTCCATTTATTTATTTATTTATTTATTTTGTAATAAAATCTCAACTTCCTTCATTGTGAAGGAAAACTCTTTCTAAATTGAATTTCTATACTTTTAACCTTTCCTTTTCAATACTTTTTAACTTTCATATTAAAACAATGCATTAGGGTCAGCCAGTCTTTTTCACAAATAAATAAAAATGTTGGAATCTTATTAAATATTTAAGATAAAACAATTTTCTTTATTAGTAAAATAATATATATATATATATTATTATTATACTATAATATATATATATATATATAAGAAAGAACTCCCTGCACTTTTGTGATGGATAGCTCTGTATATTAATTAATCCATAAAAATTTTTAATTTATATTTTTTTTTTTAATTTTTATATTTTTTTTTTAATAAATATTCAGAAATTCTTTTGTTTTAATAAAAATTTATTAAATATTTAATCTTGGAATTCCATTCCATAGCCAAAAATTGTCTTATGGCTATAACAAGAGGCCGAATTCTACCAGACAAAGGAATATCATCCGCCAACAAGTTGGCAACAGGGCACATGAGTCTCATCAAAAAAGGAAAAACATGTATAATATACAATTTTTGTATAATTTAACTTCGAGTTTTATATAATAAAAAAAAATTATGTATGTCAATACAATAAAAATTTTTTTTTTCTAACTAAATATAGTCTGACGGACTAATATCTCTATTATTATATCAATTTTAAATTTTATAGTGGAAAGAACTCGTATTTAAAATACTTCAACTTTTAATAAAAGATAAAAAAACTTTTTTTAATTGAAAAATATTTCATAATTTGAGCCCATAGCTTATTCTCTAATTTATAACATAAAAATTAAATAAATCAACTTGCAAACTCAACTACGTCTTTGCATTAGAGATATTTAATTCTTTTTTTTATTGTATAATGTGGTCTTATTGATATACAATATAAAAGAATATATTTTCCCAATGATAATGAAGCCTCCTTAATAGACTATCTACCTTTTTTTTTTTTTCTAAAATCAATGATTAAACTATATAATAAAGTAGAATTTTTTTAAATTTCATTTAAAAATTGCAAATCTCTCTCTAATTATCTGAACATACAACTTTCAAATCAAATAATTTAAATTTTAATCATTTGATTTCCATCAAATAATAACTATATCCTAAATAATTTAAATCAATAAAGGAAAATTACGGAGAGAACTGAAAGGATCCAAATAATTTATTACTAAACGATGATATCAGTAATCAATTCAATTAAATCCTACTATTAATTTTCCAATTGAAGTAAAATTGATTCCGAGAATTACACTAAAGTGTACATTCATTGTATATATAAATTTCATTTGTTTAAATTTAAAAATGATAATTGTAAAATGATTATATTAATATGATTCTGGCTCCAATTATTATTGAGTATCTCTCACGATATAATTCCACAATAAAAATTAAATTATATAATTAGATTATATTCCATTATATTTAAGAATAATATATTGAAGCCGAAATTGAAGGGGAATAATCAATTAATTAATTAATTAATATTGTTTAATACAGAAATTAAGCGCAATCGTGTTAGTTTTCGGTCGTTTTTAGGGTTACTATGTCGTATTGTTTTGGGAAGTGAAAAAAATTAAAACGCATATGGGTATTATCAGAACATGTCGGGTGGGCCAGCCAGTTTTTTGGATTATATTGCAAAGGATAACTGTATGGTGCGTGTGGGTGTGCGCGTAAGATTGGTTATTGTTCTTAAACTAAAATAGGGTTTTGTCTGAACTTGGTTTAAGCCACATGGATGTTTTCATGCCCATCCAAAATACGCGCGGCTACCCGCCTGGGTCCAATGAGAGATGGGTCCATTTATTGGAAGTTTGGGACCCACGCGAGATAGTCAGCTATATGTAAGGGTGACCATTCAGCTAACTAATCCAAATTAGCTGAATTTTAGTTTATCTGAATATATCTGTATAATATCTAATATGAAATTAAATGGTATAATAAACTATTCAAACTGATTTAAATCAGGTTGGATTGGGTTATTTCAAACCAAATTAATTATTTTGGACTTAAAATAAAAGTTAGTTATATATGATAACCGTATGAAACAATTGAAAATTATATAATTTTATATATCCAAATCCATCGATAATTGAATTTATAAATATTTATCCAAGTATGACCGAATTCAATCGGTTTAATTTGATTCTCAATTAGAAATCAAAAATTGCTCATCTCTAGCTATGTGTCATTTGCTGATTTTCTATATATAATATAATAAAAAATTATTATAATTTGACAACCTAATTTCATGAATTTTCTTATTACAATTTAAATTTAATTAATTTAATTATTTCGTATATAATATAATATCATAAATTGTTTATATTATTAAATTTATATTATTAAAATATGAAAAATTGGTACTAGCTACTACATTAATTAATATATTAATCATTATTTTAGAGCATCATATATATTTTTGATTTTTTTTTTTTTACTTTTTGCCGAATAAGCATATACTTAATTCTATGGTTGCTTTTTTTTAGGAAAAAAAAAATCTTCCAATATATTATACTGCTTGCTAATATAAGGTATTATATCGTAATTATATATATATTATATTCTTAGAATTAAATATATATTATATACTATATATATATATATATATATTGAGTTTTTATTTTCCTTTTCTAGTTTATATCAAACAATAAATCTTATAATGCGTTTCTTAATAAATAATAATAAATTACATTTATTTTTTTATTGAATAAGTTACTTGTAAAAAATAATTGTAACCAATTAAATTAAAATTTTATTAAAAATAATAATTAAACATATTATATTCTACGATATTTATATGTATCTTATATAATATAATATAACCAATCAAAATTAGATTACCTTTATTTTTCCAACCAATAAAATTAAAATCTTTAAAGATAATATGTATTGTTTGGTATCCATCAAATAATATTACCATATTATATTTTATTATATAATATGTTACCATACTATATTTTATTACTATAAAATATATATATTACCATATTTAATATATACATTATATCTCTTATTTAATATTGTATTATATGGTTTTGGTTTTAAAATTGGCTGTTTCAGTCATACGAAAGGTAAAACGAAATAGCATTACGATACTGTATATATACTCCATATAGTATATAATATACTTTCTTATTTCATATATAATAATAACCTCATCTTCTCAATAAAGTTGTTTAGTTATTATTATATGAATAATTATTCATATTATTAAAAAAATTAACTTTAACATAAATAAGTATAATAGAAATACAGTAAAGGATACTTTCATCTTTTTATTATGATTAAGGCAAAAAATATAAATTTTAGATGGAATGACTTATTATTAGTCTAATTGAAATAAACTACAGAGATATATTAATATATTTTTGAAAAGACAAAAACTAGATAGTTAATTGTATCAAACTAAATGGACTAAATAGCAATTTTTTCAATTAATTAAATTAGTTTTTCTATTGATGTCTCACTCAATAAATATACAATTTCAAAATTTAAAATATAATTAAAATCGTTATTTATTTGGAAGTGCTAAATAACGATTTAATTTCAATTTTGTAATTGAAAATTTCAATATTATTTCTAATTTTTTAAATATATAAAAAAGTTATGATTTGAAGATTCAATAGAAATAAAAATAACTAATAAATAGTGGTGAAGGAACATAATAATGAAATTTAGTATTAAAATTACTTTATAAGAAATTGAAATATGATATTTTAATCTAATAAAAAGTGTATGCATGACTTAAATAAAGATTAAAGTTAAATATTTTTCAATATTTTTCAAAAAAAAAAAAAAATCCAACCGTATATAATTAATTTGCCTACCATGGACATGAATCAATATATGCACTTTTGAATAATCACTCTATATAAGCATAAATTAATCATCATCAATCACCGTCATAGACTGTGAACCTAATTTTACAGTAGTTGATGGTGATGGTTAATTATTTTCATAATTTAAATTATTATTTTGTGTTTTTTAAAGAAAATTTAGGTACGATCTCAATTCATCAGTCAAACGCAATGGATAATTTCTCCTACACAATTTAGTGGTGATTACATTTTTTTTTTCTTTTCTCTAATATTATTAAGGGAAATTCACAATTATATCTATCATGAAGTATGAAAAAAAAAATACTATGTATCAAATTAAATTTATATATAGTTGAAAAAAAATAAGTAAAAGAAGAAAGAAAAAGAGTCACTAGCAACTATTAACAATAGTTTTTAGAAGTTTTTAGATTTTGAAATGACTGTATAAAAAGAAATTTTTCTTTGAAGAAACATATTTTGTTTTTAATTTAATATATTATATTTTACATCTAACGATAATGTCACTTTCTATTTCTTATTTAAGAAATAATTTAAGTTTTGTAAATTCATGGCACTCTAATTGACCTTAATATTATATATATTATATGAAATTTTATATAATAGTGATTAACAATATTTTAATTTTTAAATTACTTTAATAAAACTATTTTTACATTAATTACTATTGTCAAATAGAGATTTTTTTATTTAGGCCATCTTTTTAGCTTCATCTTAAATAATTTAGAACTCACGGTTACTTAGAACTTGAAAATTAAATGTCTTATGGGTGCATTATCGCCTAAAATATTTGAAAATTTACAGAATGCTTCTAGTAAAATTGTCCTTAGCTTAAAAAATATGCCGCCATGAAATAAGAATTAAGTAAAATAAAATTGACTTTATAGTTTTTAAAAGTTAGATGCATTTGACCGTGACATAAATTTAGACATTACAATATCATAGAACTATGAATTATTTAACGAAAATTTTCTACATTTAAATAATAAAAACATGTGAAAAATTATTGAATTTTGGATAAATGTGAAAGTCTCAACAATTGTCTTTAATTGGTAAATGAATATAATTTATAAATTTTATAATCTTAACACGTATGATTTATCTTTTATTAGAGTATACCAGAAAAATAGACTTAATATAATAGAAAAAAAAACATATAATATACATAAAATTAAAATTTTTAGACCAAATTGCTTTTCTAGAAATCCTATAAAAAAAATCGACTTGAATTTTCTTTTTGTAAAACATTTAAATTAAATATTTTTTTTAATAAGTGTCCATATTACTAATTTGAAATGTCTTAAGTTATTTCTTTACTTTTTATTTTCGAAAAAAGCCAATAAATTAAAATTTTACTTATCTATAATATTTTCTAAACAATCAATTTTTACTAAAGTTGTGAATAAAATTAAAATTAATAAATCATTAATAATATTCTATTGATATTACTTTTCCTAATTTTGGGGGTGAAAGGAGCATATAAAGCATAAAAAATAAACCGTAAAAACAGCCAAATTGAGTCAACCTAACAAACTACAAGGTCAAAGGAAGACGTCAGTACATTACACTCGCGCCTTATCACATTTGCGCGCGTGGTTCTGTTATTACCGTTAGTCTCCATTGCCCAACCCAACACCATCACTGGTTTTTGCTACTCTTTTTGCTCACTCGCTTTTTTTGTTTTTTATTTTCTAATTCTCTCTCTCTCTCTCTCAAAATAAAATTAAAAAATAAAAATAAAAATTGCGAAATTTTATTTTAGAAAAAAAATTGACATTAAGTTGTAATCATAACAACCTTTCCAAAAGTCCATCTTGATTGATTCCTCTCTCTCTTTCTCTCTCAAAAGGATTTGATTTGAAATTCATGTAAAGTTGTTGCCTACATGTGCGTTTCATGTTGTTTTTTTTGGCTTAATGCTTATTGTTTATCATCATTCCTTCTTTTCATATAAAATAATGCAACCACTGAAACGTTTTTGTGTTTGTTATGTTTCAAAAATGCATTACAGGGTGTTTCGATCGTGTTTCTCTACAAACTGCTCTTAATAACTATATGGGTTCTTTCTCTGGGTTTTAATGGAGGAGAGCAAAACAAGCATTTTCCTTCAAACCCAGGTAATCAAATTTCCATATTTTCCTTTGTCTTCTTTTTCTCTGTATTCAACGTGAACATGATTAAAACTTGATGAGAACCCAAGTATATCATTGTATTGTTGCTCAATGATTTTTGTTTGTTTATTTTTATGATGTGAATTAGTTGTTGAACTATTTGCATTGTTAATGGCAAAGACAAAGAGGTTTATTAGGATTATCAAAATTTATTTGCAAGAAATTTTAATTCCAGTTTTCGTGCAGAGCCAAAAATGGGAGGAGTCTGCAATTGGGCTTCAAGAGTTGGGAATTATTGAATTCAATATTTATGGTTATCTGGGTTGCTTTAAGATCAACAATGATTGTTGATGATACAAGATGCAAAATTTGATCTGGGTTTTTGCGGGAAAAAAAAAGAGAAAGATCAGCTGAAATATTTTATTCATATATTAAATAGGCGGATCCAATGGAGTCATCAGCTCCATTGCCTAGTTCAGCTCCAAGGAAAAAAATTACAAAACAGTTAACAGGTAAAAAAGATGATACTCCATTGCATTCTGCAGCTAGAGCAGGGAATTTGGCTGCTGCAATGGAGATCTTAACCGGTACTCAGGAAGCAGAGTTGAAAGAATTGTTAGAGAAGCAAAATCAGTCAGGAGAGACCGCTTTATATGTAGCTGCAGAATATGGTTATGTTGATTTAGTTAGGGAAATGATTAAATATTACGATCTTAGTGATGCTAGTATCAAAGCAAGAAATGGGTTTGACGCATTCCACATTGCAGCTAAGCAAGGGGATTTAGGTATGTCTCAATACTAGAAATTCTCTATTTTGTTCATTTGAGTGATGGGTTAATTTAGTTTTTTAATTTTAAAGATAGAGGTACTAACTCTGAATTAAGTCAAACCTCAAGAATTAGTAATTAATTGCTTTTTGTAAAGGAAAAATACGATGATTTTTGCCTTGCGTTATTGCAGATATATTGGCAATTCTAATGGAGGCTCATCCAGAATTGGCTATGACTGTTGATTTATCAAACACCACAGCTTTGCATACTGCTGCAACACAAGGGCATATAGAGGTAGTGAGATTATTGTTAAATGCAGGAAGTAGTTTGGCTACCATTGCTAGAAGTAATGGCAAAACTGCATTGCATTCCGCGGCTAGAAATGGGCATTTGGAGGTTGTTAGGGCACTTGTGGCAATGGAGCCTGGGATAGTGATAAGGGTAGATAAAAAAGGGCAGACTGCACTTCACATGGCGGTGAAGGGGCAGAACGTCGAGGTGGTGGAGGAGTTGATTAATGCAGAACCTTCTTCGGTGAACATGGTTGATACTAAAGGCAATACAGCATTACATATAGCCACTCGAAAAGGAAGAACTAAGGTAAATTACTTCTTTCCCTCAGTATTTTCACCAAGGCATGTCTTCGCCTAACTGGCCTGGTGTGAAAATTTTAGTTTTAGTCAAATTTATTGTTTATTATTTCATGGCCTTATTTCTTTGTCTAGCTGCTTTGAATATTTGACCAATAAGAGGGTGAACATATAGCATTCAAGGTAGGAAAATCTGATCTTAGTTTATCAAAGATGATCTAATTGGGGGGAAAAATAATTGATAATGAAGCACCTTTGATTCATCTGGATTACTTTGACCTCGTAATTTCAGAGATTTTGAATACTGTTATTAGTATTGTAAATTTTCCATATTAAGAGACAAAATTTCAGAGATTTTGAATACTGTAATCTCAGAAATCCAGTTAGCTAATTAATATTTTGGTCAAATCCTGTTATTAGTATTGTAAATTTTCCACATTAAGAAACAAAATTTTCTCTTATTTGCAAGGTTGTATTTTTCAATGTAATCTTGTTTCTTGGCTCTTCCAAATAATTTGGGCTAATGATTTCCATGTTGCTTTTTGAAATTCTATTGCTGGTTGACTTCTGAACAAAATTCTGACATATCTGACAATTTGCTGACATTAATTGAATCTAGTCGGCTATAATACTATGTAAGGTTAACTATAATACTATGTAAGGTTAACTAGTTGAAGTTTTAAATTCTCAATAACATCAATTGACTTACATATATATATCAAGATTGGATATTTGTAGATGTAGTGTCACGATTCTGCTTTTTTGAACTGAAAACTATTATATGCTGCTTGAAAATTATGATCTTGATGTCAGCTTGCAGAGTTTTCTGATCTCTAATATGTTGTTTCTTAATTTAAAAGGAGTGAGTTTTATCAACCTACTTTGTTTTCCTAAAAGTTTCAATCTTTAATGTTGAAAAACTTAGAAGATACACATTTGCTCTTCTAGCTTCTGGTTTGTCAATGAAGATTTCAGGAGATAATTTTATTTCGTTTTTGGTTAATTAGGCTTTGATTGATGTATGAACTCGCAATCTAATTGGCAGGAAAGATTTTTTTTTAAGTCCTAACCATCTCTAATATACAATTTCTTGTTGAAAGAATGTTCAGAAAAATGAAATTAATAGGGATATAGTCCAAAAAGTCTTGATGACTGGACATGAAACAGATAAATTGATACAGTAGTTTGTGGTTTTTGCAGATTGTTATGTTGCTGCTCAGGTGCAACCAAACAGACACAAAAGCTGTCAATAGAACTGGTGAAACTGCTTTCGATACGGCTGAGAAAACTGGGCACTCGGATGTTGCAGCCATTTTGCGGGAACATGGGGTTCAGAGTGCCACAATTATTAAGCCAGAACTAACAAATCCAGCACGAGAATTGAAGCAAACTGTGAGTGACATAAAACATGAAGTTCACTATCAGTTGGAACACACCCGACAAACTCGCAAGCGAGTACAAGGCATTGCTAAACGTCTTAACAAAATGCATACAGAAGGTCTTAACAATGCCATCAACTCGACAACTGTGGTCGCTGTCCTTATTGCTACAGTCGCCTTTGCAGCTATTTTCACTGTCCCTGGCCAATACGTCGAAGACCAAAATGAAATGCCCCCAGGACAGTCACTCGGGGCAGCAAATATTGCTCGGAGAGCTCCATTTCTTATATTCTTTGTGTTCGACTCGATTGCCCTCTTCATTTCTCTAGCTGTTGTAATTGTGCAAACATCAGTTGTTGTCATAGAAAGCAAGGCGAAGAAGCAGATGATGGCGATCATTAACAAGTTGATGTGGTTAGCTTGTGCACTTATATCAGTAGCATTTTTAGCTCTGTCGTTCATTGTTGTGGGGAAGCATGAGATATGGTTGGCAATTAGTGTGACAATTATAGGAACAGGTATAATGGTTACAACTCTGGGAACTATGTGTTACTGGGTAATTAAGCATCGGATTGAAGCCTCGAATATGAGGAGTATACGAAGATCATCGCTAGGAAGCAGATCGCGATCATTTTCAATGTCTATGATGTCTGATACTGATATCATAACAAATGAGTATAAGAAAATGTATGCAATTTGATACACTCTCATACAAAAGATCTTTTCTTTGGCATACTGCACATACCTTGACTTCCACATGTACATTTCTCATTAAGAAAACATTTTTCTTTTTTTACTTTCTCTTGATCAATTCTTTTGATACATAGAAGAGAAACAACTTAAGAAGTACTAAAAATTACATTGAATTGCATAGTAAAAATCCAAAAATTAAAATTCACTCTGTAATTTAGGTGTTTATTTATACTTTATAATCTTAATTTTAAACTAATTTAGGCCGGTTATATAAATGTTTTGTTACAATTCTGCTATTTCAACATCAAAATTAGAATTGAATTTATTTATTTTTCTTTACATAAAAATACAACTTTGACTTGGAAATAGATTTCACTTTGGAATGTGTGCATCCATTATGATATAGTGATGTTAAGAAATCAAAACTAGAGTGGTGGCATATGGCAGAAAACAAATCCTAAAACAGTAATGTCAAATTTGCCATGATCTTGTCCACAATGTGCAGTTAATAAATAGTGACTCACATTTCCATCCTTCAAATGTGCAAAGCATGGAAAGCGTTTCTTATATATATATATATAATGACAAGGATTAATTCTCTGGTACCATAAAGGATAAAAGTTTTTTACTCAATACTAAAGTGCGTTTTTCGGAAATCGAATTTGTGTATATAATATATATGATATAGGCCTTTACAGTATCGTTTTAGAATCAACCAGCTGAAGCAATGACACAATTGTTTTTTTACAATTAACAATTATAAATATATAAATAAGTTTAGCTCAATAATACTATTAATTATTTTCATTCTTTAACATTATAAATTTAAAATAATTGATAATTAGCAATTAATAGAAAAACACACAAGCCTTATGGTACTTGGTTTATAATTTAATTATAAATCAAAATTATATTATTTATTATAATAATTATGTACATTTACCTGTATAATATAATACAATGGTGATATCACATCAGTAAGATGAGGTGGAATAACACTGAACTAATCCTATTATATAGTGCCACAATCCAATTATAAATGTAGTAAACTAATGACAGCAATGAAAAGGGGGAAACAGAAAGAAAGAAAGAAAATAAAATTCTTTACATTCACTTATTAATAGGGTTCTAAGTGAATTGAGCTGAGTCCAAATTTCTTTTAGTCTGAGTTTGATTTGTTTTTAGTATATTTAAACTTTCAAAATCAAGTTCCAAGTGAACAATTAAAAATAAAATTACCTCTTTAAGTTGAAATCCATATTCCAGCTTGATTCATTTATAACAAGCTCAATTAATAAACTCGAACTCATTATTTATTGAATAAACTTTAGAAAGTCAAACTTGAGCGTCTCATCCGCAATACTACCTACCTACCTATCAGGAGTTAAACCAATACTTTCATTATTTATAAATATAAATCGTTTAAAGTTCTTTTACGCTGACTAAAAAAATAATTAATTCTTATAGATTATAATAAAAAGTTTATTAATTTAACTAAATTCATTTTATCTTATATCATTAAGAACAATTGTTTAATATATTGACCAAAATTGAAAAACATTTATTAATTACTCTTTAATATTTTTAAAACGACTTATATTTATGAAAAAAAAAATTATTTCAAAACACAAGGGGTAGCCTTTACTTGACTTACCAAATTGGTGAAAACAACTATTGTCAAAAAACTCAAACTTAAAACCTTTTATTTTTTAAATAAATGAAAAGACCAACCAAACCACCGGTTGATTGGCTTAAAGCAGCCTTATATTTGCTCACAAGAGGGTACATAAAACCCATGTTTGGGTCTAATACACGGTGCAAGTCCAACTACAGTGAAATGTTGAGCAGAGCTTCGACAATTGACATGCTTGACATACCTGACCTGATTTCCTTGTCTGGGCTATAAAACTCTTGTGGAATCGGCCCATTGAGATTGAAGGCCCATGACTAGCGTTTCACCGGATAACTGCTCCAGCGGCCTCTGACGGTCTCACTGTTCACTCCATCTTCCATTTGAGAGAGAGAAAAAAACAAAAAAACAAAATCAAAATTTGAACGAGCACCGGCGTTGAAGTTGAACTCCTGATCAAAGGAAGAATCGGGGAAGAAAGAGTGACACCGCAGATATGGACGCTGAATTGCTAGAATTGCAGAAACAATTCGAGTATGCGCAACAAGCGAAATCAAGCATCCGATTATCGGAACGAAACGTCGTCGAATTAGTCCTAAAGCTCCAGGAGCTTCGCATCATAGATTTCGACCTTCTCCACACAATCTCCGGCAAAGAATACATCACTCCTGTATCTCTCTCACTCTCTCACTTTCTTATAGATACACACGCACACCTCACAATTCTTTGTCCGGTTCCCGAGAAAATGAATGAAAATACTACGGGAGAAGGAGAACTGAATTTTAATTGTCAAAGTCAACTGCACTGAATAGCATAGGTTTTAACTTCGTGGCTTGGGGTTCCAGATGTACTAAGTAACTTACTTTTTCTTTTTCGGTTGTCAAACAGAGCATTACACTTGAATTTACAATTTCTTATTGTACTTGATAATTAATTGTTATTTTAGTTGTTGTCATTGTTCTCTAACATGAATTTGTTCATACATGGGGCTGTAGGAGCAACTGAGGCATGAAATGGTGGCTGAGATCAAGATATTAGGGCGTGTTTCCTTGATAGATCTTGCGGATGCTACTGGTGTTGATTTATATCATGTTGAAAAGCAAGCTCATCATGTAGTGTCGGATAATCCGGAGCTAATGTTAATTCAAGGAGAAATTATATCACAGGCTTATTGGGATAATGTTGCAGAAGAAATTAATGAGAGGCTTCAAGAATGTAGTCAAATTGCTTTGGCAGAAATTGCTGCACAGTTAAATGTTGGCTCAGAATTTGTGGCTTCTATGTTGGAGGCCCGCCTTGGAAGATTGGTAACTGGTTTTCTTTGTTCAAAAATGTTGTTTTTGGATTATAAAAGATAACATTATGATACGAGTTATTTTGGAATTTAGGTGAAAGGTAGGCTTGAAGGTGGGCAATTGTATACACCGGCTTATGTTGCTCGTGTTAGTGCCATGGTTCGTGGCGCTGCAAGGGGTATCACAGTGCCTACTAACTTGTCAGTGCTTTGGGGAAATTTACAGCAGTTGTTGCAGGAAATGAATGGAGCCAGTGGTGTGGCCGTTGAAAGTTCATTCTTCCAGTCCCTCTTTAATGGACTCATGAAGGAAGGCCAGGTTCTTGGATCACTTCGTGCAGGAGTTCATTGGACTCCAAATGTATGTTATGCAATCTTTGACACTGTTGCATATTGTATGTGGTGAGGTTCATCTCACCAGAAAGAAGAGTTATAGACTTTGACGCCAGTTGTATACTTGCATTGAATTGTGGGAGTAAGCTTTATTTTGAGATTCCAAATTGAAATTCTTTTAATGAACGTTCTTTTTTACCCTTTTAGAATGTTTCAGTTGAACTTTCAACAAAAGATATGAGTCTTGTTTACAGTTAAGTGTTCTGAGGTATTCTTTTATGATTTTGTAAACATTTTATTTACACACTTGCTAGAGTTCAAGACCAAAACATAAAGGAGGAAACGGAAACCTTGCATTTTAGAGACAGTGAGACACTATTCTATCCCTTTGGTCTTTGGCTATTGCATATTTCATTAACTAGATATCCTTGTTGATGGATGCCAATTGGGATATGCATGAAAGCTTCATATGCTATCTACAGTGTAATTTGCTCATCTTTATTGATCACTAAAACTTTGAAAAGATATGAGATGGTGGGGATAGTGTATGCAAGGTGGGGAACATGTTTGTTTGATGCTTCACTTTTCATGTGCTCATGGTATTCCATTAAATTGTAATATCTTGTTCTTATATCAAGTTTAATTGTGCAACAGGTCTTTGCCACTGCTCAAAAGGAGTGCGTGGATTCTTTCTTTTCACAGGTTTGAGTCTTTTGCCACTGCTCAAAAGGAGTGCGTGGATTCTTTCTTTTCACAGGTTTGAGTCTTGTGCCCCCCAGTCTTTTTAAGTTTGCATTATTGAGTTGCAAAAGCTGATGCATTGCCAGTTTCTCCATATCTCATTAAACATATTTTGAATATAATGCTCAATCATGTGGCTTTGCTATCTTCTGATGGGTATATAATGCAAATTTCTACAACATTCCATAATGCTGAGTGACACTGTAGTTCTCTTCCTTCTGCACTTTTCTAGCCTGTAAGAGAGAAAAAGATTACTGCTATCTTTATTATTTATCGTTTCCACTTGCTGCAGAATTCTTTTATAAGCTATGACACTCTGAACAAACTTGGAATTTCCCAGCCTGTCCAGTTCTTGCAGGTATTTTATTGAGTTCATGTTGATCTCTCTCTCTCTCTTCTTTTTTTTTTTTTTTTTTTTTTTTTTTTTTTTTTTTTTTTTTTTTTTTTTTTTTTATATATTGAAATTTGGATTAATTTTTCCTGCTCCTAGGATCATAGAATTGGTTTTAAGCATTTATTGACTACTTGAGAATGCTTCTGTCTAATCAAAACTGTGATCCTGCACTCCAATTTAGTTTAGGTATCCTGAAGGTATACCTTTAGTTACTGCATTTGCTCACCCTTCCTTGACTGAGATGTTAGATGCTGTTGTTGAGGATGCTATTGAGCGTGGTAGCTGATAAGAGAAATAATGAAATGATCAATTTTTTATTCATTTGTTTGTGCTTTTTGTTATCTTGCAAAATAACATCATAATTGCTTGTATGCCTTATTTTTAATTTGATAAATTTTATTCAATGTTGATAAAATTGTTTAGTGATTTTTTTGAACAAATGTACAGTGTCTGAATTCTGAAGACAAAGAATTATACCTTTATTTATGGTTAATACCAGGAGTTATACTGGTGTTTATATGTATAGTTTCGTATAAATGGGCCATTTGAAGTTTTACACTGAAGTTTTGTAACGTTCTTTATCACACTGAAGTTTTATAAGTGTAGCTTCCTATGGACCGTATTTGAGGGTTGAAAAGAAAATTTCATTTTCTTTATTTCTCTGAAGAAGTTAACCACTTATAGTTGTTTGGTAACTTAGATTTTAGTTATTTTTCTTAACTCTTTTATTTGTTGAGATACTTACTGTGGAGTATTTTTGCCAATCACTACTAGTCTGGTACATTCTATATGCTAAAGCATGTATGCTGACTTTGTAATGTTCTTTATCACATTGAAGTTTTATAAGTGTAGCTTCCTATGGACCGTATTTGAGGGTTGAAAAGGAAATTTCATTTTCTTTATTTCTCTGAAGAAGTTAAACACTTATAGTTGTTTGGTAACATAGATTTTAGTTATTTTTCTTAACTCTTTTATTTGTTGAGATACTTACTGTGGAGTATTTTTGCCAATCACTAATCTGCTAGTCTTTCTTCCTCATTTTCTCCATGAATTAGGTTGTTGATACTTTATCTGTTTACCATGCCAATTGTTACTTTCTTGGCAACGATTACAGTCTCATTGTTTCAATAAAAGAAAAAACATGGTCATCATTGCTATCTGCCTTGATTCTTCTGTTCTAATATTTAGGGACCTTCTTTTATACTCCTCATTGATATTTACAGAATGGGCTTTTTTGAGGACTTCTGGAAAGTAATTTGTTTGAGCTTTATATTTTAAGGCATTATTGCTTTTTTACATGGTATGATTGGATGGATATTCCAGGATTGATTCTCTTTCTGTATTGCCCGCATCTTTCGGATCCCAAGATGCATCCAAGATTTTATCACTTTGTCCTTCTGTTCAGTCGGCCCTTAAGGTGACAGTTTTCTGTGTCTGTAACTATTGATGCCCTAAATCTGGTGAATTATAATATTCATTTGCCTTATGTTTCTCTTCAGGATAATAAAGGACTCATCCTGGGGGACTCATATGTATTCAGTAATGGTTTTGTCAAGGTAATGCTCTTGAAAAAATTGATACTGAAACGAAACTTTCATTTGGTTGTGCAAATATTTTTAATATATTTCTGTATTGTTTAGAAAATGGAAGTGATGCTTATATGAAGTAGTTCTACTGTATATTAGTTCAGAAATGATTGGTCCGGCTTCTGCTGTTGGCTTGAACTTAGAGGCTGAAGAAGTTCAAATTGTGACAGTGGAGGTTTATCTTGGGGTTCAGTGCCCTCTTCACCCTGTATTCAATTGTTCCCTTTCGTATTTCGGGAACTTCCCTTTGGTACCTGAGAATGACTCGAACTTAACCCTCCTTTTCCCTCCCCATGTGTCAGGATGCGAACCTTATATAAAAAAGTAGAGATGAATTATCTTTATGTTTTCTGGAGCACTATCTTGTGGGTTGGAAAAACGATAAGATCGTGGAACTAAGATTTTGCCTCTTTTTTGTATCTTTTTAGTCTCTTATGTGAATTCTGATGGCTGCAACCTTCTCTCTGCATGGCCAGTCTGTTTATGATCGGATGGAGAAAGAGATGGATTCCTTTCTGCTGAATGACAAACCAGACTTTGTTCAGGAAGTTAAGGCTAAAAATGATTCTGGAAGGTCCAATGAGTTAAGTGACACTGGTAATGAGAAAAAGAAGAAAAAGGGAAAAACTACTGGGAAAAAAACAGCAGAAAGCATTCCAGATGATGAGGACTACATTCCTGCAAAATCTAAGAAAAACCAAAGGAAAGGCAAGGATGCGTCTTCTACTCAGGTGTCAGATACAAAAACTGGAGCTAAGAAAGAGGCTAGAATGCAAGAGGACAATCTTAATGTTCCTTCAGAAAAGTGGGTAATGCAAAAGATCCTAACTATGGTTCCTGATTTTGAAGAGCAAGGTCTGTACATTGGTCATAGTTCCTTTCAGGCAATTAGGCATCGGTTCTATTTCTAGTTTTGATTGGATATTTTGTCTAATCTGGCAGGTATAGAAGATTTGCAGATAATACTTAAACCATTAGCTAACTATATGAGACCTATGCTCATTAATTCTTTGAAGGAGAGAAGAAAGGCATTGTTCACAGAAAATACTGAGAAAATAAAGCGATTGATTGATAATCTGCAAAAGAAGCTTGATGAGGTTAGCACAATTAATTGCTACTTGTCACTTGTCAGCATTCAGTGTTTTGGCACATTCACAGCCGGATGTAATTTATACTAGTCTGGTACATTCTATATGCTAAAGCATGTATGCTGACTTCTGCCTTTTTGCAGTCTTTCCTAAATTTGCAGCTGTATGAAAAAGCTCTAGATTTGTTTGACGATGACCAATCAACTTCAGTAAGTTCTTTGGATAGTTTATACATCAACAACTTTTCCTGGATATACTAATGTTCAGAGTTTGTTATTTTGATGATAACATGTGGTAAAACCAATGCTTATGTATGATTTGCAGGTTATTTTGCACAGACATTTGTTAAGAACAGTAGCTGCTTCTATTTCAGATACACTTTTTCATAACTTGGTAGCACTTTGATAATTCCTTTTACCTCACCGTTGATTTGGTTTTAGTGAAGTAAGATGTAGGATCTTGAGGAATCGTCTTATATTTAAATTCATGTAAATATAGGACATACACAACAAATTGAAGAATGGAATTGAAGTCGACGAGTCTCAAAGTTCAGAATCCATCACATTAAATTCTGCAGAAAGAACTACTCTTGTATGAAATATTCATCTCCTTCATGAGTTATGAAATTGATCAGAAGTTAAATAAATGTATAATACTATCATTCCTTGTGCAGGCAAAAAGTTTTCCAGGATCCCTTTCAAAGAAAGCTCTTGCAGTAGTAGAAACTTTGGAAGGAAAGGTTGGTGACTGATCGTGTGAAACAGGAACTTTCCACATTCAAGATGATTTCATTGGATGATTGTCATTCAACATTTTGCTTCTTTAATTACAGTGTCTTTTTTTTCAAGATGATTTCCATTGGATGATTTGTCATTCAACATTTTGCTTCTTTTAATTACAGTGTCCTTTTTTTTTTTTTGTGGGGGGGGGGGGGGGGGGGGGGGGGAGGGGGGGGGGAAGGTGTTTACTAGCAGTGGGGTGGATTGTGTGGAGGATTGAGGAAGAGGAACTGTTTGTATGTTTGCATTCTATTCGTTTTCATTTCAAAACGGCATAATTTCTGTTTCTCAATATCATTTAAGGTTTCAGTTTTTCAACCTGCTTCAGTCCATAGACCTGTAAACATCTTTATTGGGTTTTTGGGGGGAGGTGTTTACTGCAGTGGGGTGGATTGTGTGGAGGATTGAGGAAAGAGGAAACTGTTGTATGTTTGCAATTCTATTCGTTTCATTTCAAAACGGCATAATTTCTGTTCTCAATATCATTTTAGGTTTCAGTTTTTCACCTGCATTCAGTCATGAACCTGTAACATCTTTATTGGGTTTTCACTTCTGTTGCTTGAATTTTGCTATTCTTTTGCTTGTTGAGCACACATTTTTTTCAAAGCTTAAAAGAAAACATAGAGCAGCGTGTTGGTGGTTTTGTGGTTTTTACAGCTTTCCCTTTATAATGTCTTGCTGCTTTAGAGAATTTTGCAAGATAATATGATTGGTTGTTTGGACATTGTATGGATTCTATAGAATTCTAGTTTGTTGCCATGCTTTGGGCCCAACATACATCTGTTTTTTTTTTCTCCGCTGGCTGGACTATGAAACCTGCAATCTTTTTTCCCTAAAACCCTCTATATGCAAGTTCCTTGCAACATTTGATCTTATGCTGCTGAACTCAGTACCATGAGACTATTAGCTAATCTAGCTTCTCTCTGGATTTTGTTCCCTTAGTTATAACTTATACAACCAGTTTGAGAAACATGTGGTATTAAGCGTCATTTTTGTTACTGATATATTCAAATATGATTGTTATATTTGGCAGCGGGTTGATGCTTTCATGACTTCACTAAGAGAAATGGCGGAGGAAAGGTATTTTATCTTTTTTATTATTTTATTTTTGAGTTTTGGTTTCCATGTGGATTGCATTGCTTTTTCCTTTTCTTTATGTGTATGTGCTTATTTGCACATGGGTATGTGTAATTGCAACCTATTAATGTTGTTGTGAATACTTACATTTCAATTCCATCTTTCTCAGTGGGCTGTTCTTGAAAAAGCTTGACAAAAAATTGGAGAGAACACTTTTACACTCATATCGCAAGGTATGTCTAGGTTGCTATTTATAGAAAAAGTCAGATTTAATCAATCATGACCAGGTATTACTTGGAAGGTTCAAATAGTTATAAGAGTCTCTACCTTGTATATCATGGTAGTGGTTTTTTGACTTCATCACATGAGAACCTGGTCTTTTGTGCCTGAAAGTCGTTGATTTTTACAGAATACAGATGATGGCATGCAATCCATTATTATATTCACTGTTTTTTATCTGGTCATTTGTTTGATGAATATCTAAATTTATTTGCTTTCACTGTACGCTTGCTTTGCTAGTTTGTTTCTTATGAATACGTGGTGTACAACTAGAGGGAAATATGATGAGTCAAACTTCTCATATTGGTGCCTGCTTTTATTGTGTCACTGGCAGGATTTGTTAGCCCAAGTTTCTAGTGAAACTGATCCAGTTACTCTTCTGCCTAAAGTTGTTTCCCTACTTTATCTACAGGTAGTGTTTGAATTCTTTGCTTCCATACCAAATTTTTCATTTACTCTTCTTAACATTTTGTTATCATTGTTGTGCAATTTTTGAACATCTAATTTTTCTTGTTTGTAGATTCACAATAAAGCTCTTCAAGCCCCAGGAAGGGCCATTTCTACAGCTGTGTCTCGATTGAAGGTATGGAAAGCACCGTATTTGACACATAAGTGAGAAAGTTTCAGATATCTTTTATCTCTTTTCCACCTTTCAGTCTCAAGAACACTTTCAGTGTTCTGTTGCTAGAGCACAAACATACAGAAATATATATCAACATATTGGAGACTTTGGGCTAATTTATCTCTAATTTAATGAATTTAATGATATAAAAACATAACATGAAGCTCATGTTATGAGGAGTGGTGATATTTTGGTAACTAATACATTGTGCATGCATGCCATGCTTTTCAGGAAAAGCTAGATGATTCAGCATATAAAATCTTGACAGATTACCAAACTGCAACGGTGACAGTTTTATCGCTTCTTTCTGCTGCAACTGGTGATGTGAGTAAACACATGTTCTTGCAAATTTGTTTTTATTTTGGATCCTTCTCACCATTCAATATTGATGTTTTTCCTGTTACAGATTATTAATATTTTAATTTTAATGTAAACTTTGGTAAATTTAGCTTTTTTGCACATTGAGTACGTGGATAAATTCGGTAAATTTAGTTTCAAAAATGGTTGTTAAATGGTAAACAAGTTTCATATGTACCGGTACTATGTTTCTCATATTTCTTCCTTATGTACATGATTTGCTTTATTATTATTATTTTTTTCAATTTGACTCACTGATTATAACTTGATTTATGGTGTTGGATGGTCAGGAAGAAGACTGTACATCTGATAGAATTTTGACTAAAAGGGAGTTCCTGGAGGATCTAATGCCATCACTAAAAGGTCTGGTTTTGGGCACGTCACAATCCTGACACAACACAATATCAAATTTAATTTCCCCAAGTGTTCCGCAGTGGGGAAATCATTATGACAAGGCAACGCTGCTCCTTTGTTCCGGGTAAAGTGTACAATGCGTCTGGATAGATCGCCTGCTAGTAATCTTTTATATTTGAAAGAGATAGATATAGTCCTCTAATCAGTAAAAACAAATGCTAGCTTATTACTTCTGCGCATACTTGATATCCAATCGGATGTCTTGTATAAATAGGGTCAATCAGTTCAAAATTTTAAGGGATTTTGCGGAGATTGAGTTTGATGGGGCTATGAATTGAAGAAATTCTATAAAGGGATGGATATGGTTTTTGTACGAAGCTAGTGAGTATTAACTGTTGCAGTTGAAATAGAAAGCATCATATTCTTATGAAGTATGCAATACTTGCATGAAAAAAAGAAACTTACTGAGCTGTACTAGTATATGGATTCCATGAATAAGTAAACTATCGTGTTTATTCTGCAATTTTGTCTACTTCAAACTATACTATTTAGGGAAGTATATGGCAATCGTGGAATGTTTTTTCAGGTTCCATCCAGAATTTGAAAAGGATTCCAGTTATCGAGGTTGCCTTTTCTCTCAGTTATTTTACTTTTCTTCAGCTATGAAACTAGTTCTTCTTGATTCATGAAATTGATCAGTTAACAGCTTGCGAGCCTAATTGAACATTTAAATCTATTATGTCAGAAACCTCCTATTCGTCATAAATGAAAAAACCAGGTAAACCCCATCAAATTAATAAAAAAAATATAAGTCGTAAACATCAATGGAAAAAAAAGTTAAGAATGAGAATAATACCAACTATGACAAAAAGGAATTCCCCGTTTTTATCGAACTATTTAATGTTTCGAGCATCTTTTGTCAGAAATAAGACGGTAAAAGTATTTGAATATGGCTCAAATTAAAATCTCTCTCATTTCTTTGTAAGTGCAAAATGGGTGGTTCACTTCTTACGGTGAATCTCAGGGTAACTGAGTTTTAAAATCAGTAGAATTTTAATAAAAATGTATAGATAAGCATATAAAAATTTATAATATTCACATCACACAATAATTAAAAAAAAAAACAAGAAGAAGAAAATGAGATAGACAGTACACTAACTTGAGGATTGACTGGAGCAACAACTGAAACGCCAGCGACGGAAGACTGCCTAATTTCATGGCAAACAGATGAAAATTTTATAAAAACAGCACAAAACCATTTGGTTAGCTAGACCCAAAACTTTATCACTATACATTCTATTCGATACTTTCCTGCTGGCGACAAGAACTGCTATTACTTACCACTTTATACATCGGACACCAAGTTCTTGTTTCGAGCTGGGTTTCATTGTGGCAATTACGATGGACTTTCAAAGCCTCTCACTTCCAATTTGGAGATAGATGGGAATTTATGGGCAACGGTAACAACTTTCTCTGAGTAAACTGAGCCAGTTTATCATGAAATGATTTACAGGACTTACAGAGAAGCTGCACAAGTGTGTTTAGTGCGTGGTGGTGATGGAAATGGAATTCCTTTCATTTCTTCACTTGAAGCCACTTTCATTTCTCCAATTATATTTCCTATGAATGAAATGTATAGGTTAATGGAAAATGATACAGCATTAATTCTTCATAATGGAGCAAACAAGACCATTGAGTATAATTAATTTTATATATGGACTATATATATATTTACTAACCAATTATGATGGTGGGAAACTCTTAATCATGAGCGTTTTCGCTTGTCCGTTTTTCTGTATAAAATATATGTATTGTTTTCTGTTTCCGTGCAATATAGCTAACCATGAATGATAATTTATAGGAAATTTAAAGGTTACAAGGAAATTAATTATGATGTTAAAAAACAATTTTAACCCATGATTGACAATCAAGCTTTAAATATAATTACAAGAAAGAAAGAACCTTAGTATTTTGAATGCTTTCTTTTGTTTTTTTTTGCCATCGGACTCTTTCTTGTTTCAGCATCTTTTGCGGGCCCGCTCAATATAATATATATCACACAGTTTTCGGATATGGCTGCAGAACCTTAATTAACATTTTCGATCCAGTACTCAAATCAATTAAACCATCGTTTGTTTCTCGAGAAAATGAAGAAATTAATTATACAACTGGCCATGCCATTTGTGGTGATGATGTCCACCTTCCAAGCCCAATCCCAAGGTAATAAGTTTCTTTTTTTTTTTTTTCCTTTTTCCTTAGAGAGAAAAAAAAAAAAAAAAAGAAGCTGAGTTTTTGCATTTACTGTAAACAGAACGCCATGATGACTTGAGGCTTGATTGTGGAGCATCAAAAGAAACACCAGCAAGTGATGTCGTTTATTGGCTTCCTGATGAAGATTATGTAAAATCTGGAAAAAACTACACTCTAACTTATAGCCAAAACTTTAGCACATTAAGCACTCTAAGATATTTTCCAGATAGCCAAACATCCTGCTATAATTTACTGTTTTATAAAAGAGATGGAAAATTTCTGTTTCGAGCTGGGTTTTACTATGGCAATTATGATGGTTTATCAAGCCCTCCATATTTTAATTTGGAGATAGATGGTAATATATGGGCAACAGTAACAACTTCTATGAGCGAAGATGATGCGATTTACTATGAAATGATTTATAGAACTAATGGAGACAGTGCAAAAGTGTGTTTGACAAGAACTATGTATGGAGGTGTTCCTTTTATTTCTTCTCTTGAAGCTTCTTATTTTTCCTCGGGTGATGATCCTCGTTATGGGTTTTATCTGTTGATGGAAAATAAGATTGCTTTGCAGCTTCATAGCAGGACTAATTATGGTGCTAATGACACCACCGGGTGAGTTTTCTTTTTTTTTTTTTTTTTAATTTCTTAACAATACTTCTTGGAGGAGTATAATCGAGATTAGTCGAGTTGTTACAATATAAGCTTAAGCTCAACTTGATTGGAATACTCGAGAGTTAAATTTGAACAGAAAATTTCTCATAATACAATTTATGTGGATAGCTTGTAGTGGTGCCTACTAATAAAATTTTTTTTATAAAAAATATTTGAAATTTTGTTCTGACTAAACTTTGCTTTGCATTGATATTTGATCAGAGCAGAGTAGTCAATGGAAACAAATGATTTATATAACCGACTCCAACTAATTTGAAATTAAGTTTTAGATTGTGTTTAATAATAGCTTTTTTAAGTAGCTTTTTAGTGTTTTGACTGTTCAAATGTTAAATGCTATTTTTATTTGGTAATATAGCGTTTGAATTAGTTTTTAAAAGTTAATGTAGCGTTTTACCCATATAACGTTTAACTTTTAGTGTTTTATAAAAAATTATTCAAACAGCTACTAGCTAAACGCTACTAAAACAGCTAATTACCAAAACAGCAAACTTTGCTGAATAGATATTTAGTTGTTTTTGTTGCATTGCAGGCAAATGGCTCCATATGATGAATGTTGCAACCGGATTTGGAAACCGAAACAAATGGCAGAATATCGCAATATTGCTTCCAATTACATCCCCACAGGATATTTCTATGATGAAAACCAACCTCCGGAACGTGTAATGTCAACAGCAATACAAGCAAGAAATGTCACAAACTCAATCTATCTATCTATAGACATTTCCCGTCAAACAACAGTAATAGCCTATTTCGTATTCTATTTCAGTGACCCAATTTATAGATATCCTGAAAAACCAATTGGGATAGTTGAAATTTTTATTGACAACAGAAAAATGGGTGTTACTGATATTCCTTACAAGTATGACGACGACGAAATGTACCGTGTCGTTTCATTCTATCCTGTTGAGGTTAATGGTTCAGCTAATATAACAATTTCTCCTGCACAGAACTCTACATCGGCACCACTACTTAATGCTATGGAAGTGTTTTATGTTGTTAATGTGACTAATATGTCGACCAAGTCAGGTTATTTATTGCCAAATTTCTGGGTGGCAATATGCTTCTTCAGCCTTCATTTCTTGTTGGCCATTATTTGAAATTCCAAAATTTCCTAAAAGGATATCTTTTATATGTTTACTTCCTGAAAATGCATAGTCTTTCCACATCAATGGTATTTTGTTTGCTTCAAACACATAGCAATTTGTAAAAATTAAATATTGATTAATTTAATTACTTCTATAAGTAAGAATAAGATAAGTTATAAGTGCTTTCACAAATAAAAAAAAAGCTTTCCCTTATTTGAAGAGTATAGCAACCCATGATAGCTTTCCCTTATTTGAAGACTATAGGAACCCAAGATAGTTTGGTCTAGTAGTTGAAGCGCATTGGAACCCGTTCTATGATTTTAGGATCCAATGGTGGAGTCAGATTTTTTATCTACTTTTAAACGGGAAGTGGGAAGCCACCCTTGGCAATGGATGTAACTGAAAAACATTATACCGAGAATAATGCCATAATTAATTTTAAGGATTACATGGATAAGCAATCCCATTGTCATATATCATCTTTTTAATTAGACAGTGATGGCCTGAATGCATATCATGTTGCTATCATTGTATTTGTTAATACGATGAAAATTGGATTTTACAAAAATTAACAAACATTAACTGCCATAATTTAAAAAAAAAAAAAAATCATTTTCTTGTAAGCATAAAAACGTGTGAGCCCCGTTGGAATTTTAATTCTCTGCATCTCATTTCCGATAAAATCCATCGAAGGATCCTTAGCAAGTAATAAATTTTCTAAACCCTGTAACGAGTTTTACTAGCATAATACTATAGAAAATCATCAATGGCAAAGTTCTTCCCCTACCTCTTCCTGATAGCTTCTTTCCTTCTCAAAGCCACCCTGTCTCAAGGTATGGCACTTAACTTACGCATTCATGATTACTGAAAATTGGATTTTTCTCCAATGAAATGAAACAGAATTAACGGTATGGTAGAGTCATGAAAATACTCAGTTTCTTCCATGTTTTAAACACAGAACAATATGTTTTTGCTGAAAAAATGAAAAATTGAAATCTCATACCAAACCAATATGTATAGCAATCAAATTTCAGATTGTATAGAGTAATTTAACTAATTCTTGCTTTTGTTTTTGCTTAGAAATAACAAACTGGGTGAGAATCGACTGCGGATCACAAACAAGTCACGTTGATGAAAATGGACTTCTATGGCAAACTGATGAAGGATTCATTAAAACAGGTGAAAATAGAATAATATCTCAAAATAGCAAGATTGTCTTAGACCAATTAAAGACATTAAGAGTGTTTAAAGAACAGAACAAGAACTGTTACAATTTGCCTGCACCAACATTAGACAGGTACTTTATTAGGGCTATGTTTCACTATGGAAACTATGACGGTCTTAACAATCCACCAAGCTTTGATCTTCAATTTGATGGAAATAATTGGGTTACTGTTGAGACTTCCTTGTCCGATACTGTTGAATGTTGACTTAGTAGCTATGGTGAAGGCCGTTGGAAGATTAGATAATTATTTGTTATTCTGTTGCTATTTTTAAGGAATAATTTAATATGCTTATCATATCAGATATGCATAATAAGTTTGCTTATTTTTCTGAAGTTTTCTTCTTAACAAATCCACCAAGCTTTGATCTTCAAATTTGATGGAAAATAATTGGGTTACTGTTGAAGACTTTCCCTTTCGATACTGTTTGAATGTTGACTTAGTAGCTATGGTTGAAGGCCGTTGGAAAGATTTAGATAATTATTTGTTTATTCTGTTGCTTTTTTAAGGAATAATTTAATATGCTTATCATATCAGATATGCATAATAAGTTTGCTTATTTTTCTGAAAAAGTTTTTCTGTTATTTAGAGTCTATAAATATTTAGAGTCTATAAATACTTCTGTAATAGTGTTTCAATATAATAAAAAAAAAGCCTTCACATGTTTATAAATTTTGTTGTTTAAGATCCTTTTTGAATTACTTTTAGTTTCTGAGACACATATCTAACATTGTGGTATCAGAGCCAATATCTTATAGGACTTGTGAAATTGAGTGAACCAAAATCAAACCCAAACACCAACCCGTGAGATGGAGGGAGAGTCTAGTTATGGTTCAATTACTCCTCCAATATTTGATGGAGTTACTTACAAAGTCTGGGCTATTAGGATGGAAACTCATCTCAAAGCTTATGATCTGTGGGAGGTTGTGGAAGAAGATTATGAAGTTCCACCACTTGGAGATAACCCAACAATGATTCAGATCAAAAGTCACAAAGAGAAGGTGAAAAGAAAAGCTAAAGCCATGAATTGTTTGTTTTCTGCTGTTTCACCCTCGATTCTTAGCAGAATTATGCAAAAGAAATCTGCCGCAGAAATTTGGAAATATCTTGAAAACGAGTATAAAGGAAATGAAAAGTTAGATAATATGCAAGTCATGGAATTTATTTCGTGATTTTGAAAACACAAAGGATGAAAGAATCAGAAAACTGCAAAAGAAGTAATGCCCGATAGAATTCTCGATATTGCAAATAAGGTGAGACTTTTTGGCAAAGAATTTTCTGATGAACGAATTATTCAAAAAATTCTAGTCACATTACCTGAAAAATATGAAGCAACGATCTCATCTTTGGAAAATTCTAAAGATCTGTCAAGTATTACCTTGGCAGAACTCTTAAATCCTTTACAGGCTCTAGAGCAAAGAAAGCTTATGAGGAATGAAGTTTCTGTAGAAGGTGCTTATCAAGCAAGTTCACGAATTAAAGAAGGGAAACTGACACAGAGGACAAGAAATGCCAAAAATTATCCACCATGTCCGCATTGTAAGAAAACAAATCATCCTCAACAATGATAGACTTCTTTGAAAAAGGTGTTGGTGGAGACCAGATATTAAATGCCATAAATGTGGTCAGTTGGGACACATCGAAAAAGTATGCAAAGGACAGCAGCAAGAAGAGGTTGAGGCTAAGGCTGTTGTTGATGAAAACCAGGGGGAGCACTTATTTATGGCGTCATATGTTACTACAGACAACTCTGAAGGATGGCTTATAGACAGCGGTTGCACGAACCACATGACCTATGATCGGGAATTATTTAAAGAGCTTGACACAACTGTCATCACCAAAGTCAGAATTGGAAATGGTGAACGTATTGCTACAAGAGGCAAAGGAATTGTGTCCATAGATAGCCTATCAGGTCAGAAACTTATTTCTAAAGTTTTATTTGTTCCTGATATTGATCGGAACTTGTTAAGTGTTGGGCAGCTGCTAGAAAAAAATTATGAAGTGCTCTTTAAAAAAAAAGGTTGTATAATCATCGATCCTGAAGGAAAAGAGGTGTTTAGAATCAAGATGAAAGGCAAAAGTTTTGTTCTTGACATATTGGAAGGAACAAGAACAAACTTTTGTTGCACAAAGAGACAGCAACACCATGCTTTGGCATAAACGATTAGGGCACTTTCATCATAATGCAGTGCTATTTATGAAGAAAAATCAAATGGTGAAAGGCTTACCAGACCTGGAGAAAGATTTGCCGATGTGTGCAGCCTGTCAATATGGAAAGCAGACCAGATTGCCTTTTCCAAAAAGAACAGAATGGAGAGCAACTCATAAGCTAGAACTTGTACATACAGATGTTGGAGGCCCGCTGAAAGTATCATCCTTGAATGGTAGTAAGTATTATATTATATTCATTGATGATTAAGATTCTGTTGGATATATTTTCTTAAATCCAAAACTGAGGTTGCTGGTATTTTTTGGGAGTTCAAAACATGGGTTGAAAATCAAAGTGGATGTGAGTTACATGTCATACGATTTGATAATGGCACGGAATACACTTCTGATAAATTCAACAGATTTTGTAAAGACACAGGAATTGAACACCAATTGATGGCACCATACACTCCACAGCAGAATGGAGTAAGTGAAAGAAAGAATAGAGTGGTAATGGAGATGACAAGATGTCTGCTACATGAAATGGATTTGCCGAAGAAATTCTGGGTAGAGGCTGCAAGTGCTGCAGTTTTTTTACTGAATAGGCTTTCTACTAAAGCTTTGAAGAATAAAACTCCTTTCGAGGCTTGGTTTGGTCATCAACCATTTCTGTTAAACTTAAAAATATTTGGATGCCTGTGTTTTTCTTATGTGCCTCAGGTGAAAAGGGATAAGCTTGATAGAAAGGCTGAAGCAGGAATCTTTGTAGGCTATAGCAACACGTCAAAAGCTTACAGAGTTTATCTACCTCAAGTGGATAAAGTCATAACCAGCAGAGATGCTGGAAGATGAAAAATGGAGTTGGAATGATGCTAAAAATAACAAAATTCCAAAAACAGTTGAAGAAAATGGTGATGCCTTAGAATTTTTTGATGATGCCTTTGATGATGAACCAATAAGGGGCACAAGATCACTTGAAGACATTTATCACAGATGCAATGTGGCTATCATGGAGCCAGAAAAATTTGCAGATGCTGTTTTAGATGAAAATGGTGATGCCTTAGAATTTTTTGATGATGCCTTTGATGATGAACCAATAAGGGGCACAAGATCACTTGAAGACATTTATCACAGATGCAATGTGGCTATCATGGAGCCAGAAAAATTTGCAGATGCTGTTTTAGATGAGAAATGGGTTTCAACAATGGAGGAGGAGCTGAGAATGATTGAGAAAAATGATACATGGGAGCTTGTGGATAGACCAACACACAAGAAGGCCATTGGAGTAAAATGGGTTTATCGGACAAAGCTGAATTCTGATGGATCTATTAATAAACATAAAGCAAGACTGGTGGTCAAAGGTTATGCTCAAATGTGCGGAGTTGATTTTTCTAAAACTTTTGCTCCTGTGGCTCGTCTTGATACAATCAGAATGCTATTAGCTATAGTTGCACAAAAAGGATGGAAGGTTCATCAACTTGATGTAAAGTCGGCTTTTTTAAACGTTTACTTGGAAGAAGAAATTTTTATAGAGTAGCCCGAAGGTTTTCTGGTTAAAGGACATGAAGATAAAGTATATCATTTGGAAAAAGCCTTATATGGTTTGAAGCAAGCCCCTAGGGCTTGGTACAGCCGAATTGATTCTCATCTTCTAAGCTTAGGCTTTGAGAAAAGCTTGAGTGAATTCACTCTCTATGTTAAGAAAACAGAAACAGATATACTCATAATATCTTTGTTTGTTGATGATCTATTAATAACAGGTAGCAATGATGATCTATTAATAACAGGTAGCAATGGAAGAATGATAAATCAATTCAAGGCAGAGATGATGGAGGTGTTTGAAATGACAGACCTTGGAGAAATGTCTTTTTTTCTTGGAATTGAAGTGCATCAAAAAGAAAATGAAGTTTTTATTTGTCAACAAAAATATGCCAAGGAGATTCTAAAAAAAATCAAGATGGAGAATTGCAAGTCAACCACAACTCCAATGAATCTGAAGGAGAAATTTTGCAAAGAAGATGTAGCCAAAAAGGTAGATGAGGTGCTGTACAAGAGTTTAATAGGTTGCCTAATGTATCTAACTGCAACGTGACCTGATATCATGCATGCTGTAAGTTTGCTGTCAAGATACATGCATTGTGCTAGTGAGATTTATTTTCAAGCAGCAAAACGTATAATTAGATATATTAAAGGCACAATAAACCATGGTATTAAGTTCAGTGAAGTTCAGAATTTTAATTTTCATGGTTTTTTCGATAGTGATTGGGCCGGTTGCTTAGATGATATGAAGAGCACTTCCGGTTACTGTTTCAATTTTGGTTCTGGTGTATTTTCCTGGTGTTCCAAAAAGCAAGATGTGATAGCTCAATCCACAGCTGAAGCAGAGTATGTTGCAGCCACTTTAGCAGTTAATCAAGCTTTGTGGATAAGGAAATTGTTAGCTGACTTGTCTATGGAAGAAAAAGGAAGTACAAAGGTTTATGTCTACAACCAGGTTGCAATCTCAATTGCAAATAATCCAGTATTTCATGGAAAAACTAAGCACTTCAAGATTAAATTGTATTTCCTTAGGGAAGTTCAAAAGAATGGTGAAGTAAGTTTGGTGCACTACAATTCAGAATTTCAGAATGCTGATATTTTGACCAAATCTCTCTCCAAGGCTAGATTTGAATATTTAAGAGAAAGACTTGGAGTTTGCTGCTCCTAAGCCAAGGAGGAGATTTTGTTGAATGTTGACTTAGTAGCTATGGTGAAGGCCGTTGGAAGATTAGATAATTATTTGTTATTCTATTGCTATTTTTAAGGAATAATTTAATATGCTTATCATATCAGATATGCATAATAAGTTTGCTTATTTTTTTGAAGTTTTCTGTTTTTAGAGTCTATAAATTCTCTGTAATGTAATAGTGTTTCAATATAATAAAAAAAAAGCCTTCACATGTTTATAAATTTTGTTGTTTAAGATCCTTTTTGAATTACTCTTAGTTTCTGAGACACATATCTAACAGATACTATCTTCCATGAAGTAATGTATAGAAGCAAAGGAAAGAATATTAGTGTATGTCTAGCTTACACTGAAGATCAGCAATTTCCTTTTATTTCCATGCTTGAAGCTTGGGCTATGCCTGATGAAAGTTATCCTCGTATGAGTGAAGATAGAGCTTGGATTACAGGCTACAGATACAATTATGGAGGTAGTGAATTGATTCTTGGGTAAGAAAATACTTCTTTTGTTTCAAATTTTACAACCTATCACAATTTCTTTAAAACTTTATCAAATGCACAGTTCTGCTTTTTATGGCTCAATATGTGGAAGAATTCAATATTATTCAATTCTAGAATTGAACTGAATTCTTGTGAAAATACTGCTCTATATACATCCAATTTATTTTATTCCTTTAGAGATCGTTTGGGTTGACGTAGAATAAATGGATTTTACATAGAATGTAAATTCCATGTATTGTGAAATCAATGGAGTTTCACATTCTATTGCTTAGTGGAAAAAAAAAATCCATTGATTTTATATTATTAACTCTCTTTCTTCTAAAATGATATCGAATTAGTGTTATGATGGAATCTATCAATTACATGTATTATAATTTTTTTTTTTTTCAACCAAACGAAGGAATCTAATAAATCCACGAAATGGATACATTTAATGTTCAAATTCTATCAATCCAAACGACCTCTATCATTCAAAATTATATTGTGTAATTTGACTATGGGTTAAGTGTACTTAAATTGAATTGGATCTAACCTAAGATAGCATGATTATGTTTATTTAAAAAATATTTTTTTAGATTCATACAATTGAACTTTATCCATTATATTTTTTTATACATAAGAATTAGCAAAATAAATTCAATTGAATTAAATTCTTACAAACTTTTTTGTAGCAGCGGTTTAGCAGCGGGTTGTATCTTAAAGGACTTATTCAAAAACAAAATATCAATGAGGAAATTCGTAAAGAGTAGCTCAAATGGTGAACTCCTTTGAGCTCAGTGGATGACCTCTACAAGATCAAAGTTTGATCCACAAAGAAAATAATTTATAGAGAGGGACATCATAAACTCTAGAAAGAGATTAATTTCATTACCAAGGGTGTGGGATACTCGTGAAAAATTTTTAAAAAAATTCTCTGAGAAAAGTACCATGTTATGTCCATTTTCTAACAGCATCTTTTGTTCGATGAACCCACAGGTATCCTGATGATAGATTGAATCGCATATGGAAGCCAATGACACCCTCAGGACTAGATCCTGTAGAAGCCAATTTCACTTCCCTTTACTTTACCACTGTCAATGAACCTCCTGAAACGGCAATAGTCCGAGCTGTGGAATCTCCATATTACACAGAATCAATCCTTTTACCTTTCACATTCAATAAAATGAATCGCCTTGACCGTATTGACATTTATTTTACAGAAATTCAAGATATTACTGCTCTAAGGAAATTTTATCTGTATGTGAATGGGGGATTAGAAGCCACAATTTCCCCAGAATACCAAAATTGCACAGGATATACGATAAATACTCCATCTTTTGGTCCTTTAAATGTTGCCTTAGTTCCATCCTATGATTCTACATTACCACCAATAGTTAGTGCAATTGAGGTATACACTGCGAGTGATTTTCTCGTCACTGCAGGAACATCAAAGGATGACTGTAAGTAACTTTATTTCTTTTTTTTTTTTCATCCGTCAGTTTCGTGTTTTTGTGATTTATAAAAGACAATTGAAGTGGGTTTTGTTGAAACAGTGGATGGCTTGGCTGTACTTATCAATTCATTTGATCAGCTTAAGGGATGGAATGGTGAACCATGTCTCCCAAGTGATACTGTCTGGCAATGGCTTGGTTGCTCAGATATTAGCCCACCAAGGGTTATTTCAATGTCTGGTGTTTTAGCCAAAGACAATTTAAATAAAAAAGAACCTCATATAATATTTCTCTCTCTTTTAAATTGAAAATTTTACCTTTTATATTGCAGAAATCTGTCAGGATATGGTCTTAAAGGTCCTCTTCCTGATTTCAACCAAATGAAAGCCCTTGAAACATTGTGAGCCATTTAAACTTGTACCTTCTTTATTTTATCTTCATATTTTGACATAAATATAACATTATTTTCCCTTTTAATGAATCCAGAAACTTGGCAAACAACAGTCTTAATGGTCCAATTCCAGATTTCCTTGGAATGCTACCCAGTCTGCAACTCCTGTAAGTTTTAATTCCACAAGTTGGATTTTCTCTTGATTGGTAAATCTGCAGGTAATTAATTACATGCGGCTTCATGGATTTGAAATTCAAATTCTTACTACTTTGTTTTTCTAACTTGTTGTCAGTGATCTTCGAGATAATGATTTTTCAGGAGATATTCCTCAAAGTATAGTTGACAACAACAAATTAACTTACTAGTAAGTAACTCAATTATAATTAATTTCGTTACAATACATTTAAAATTCCTAATTATGTAAATGCTTTTTTTCTGTAATGTCAATAATGCAGCATAGACGGGAACCAGAATCTGAATCTCCATAAATCAAAGAAAAAGAATTTAGCACTAATAATTGGATTAGCAGTTGGAATACCGATATGCATGCTGATAGTAATTGCAGTAATAATGGTAATTTATTTCTCGAAGCGAAAGCAACCAGCAATCTCAAGCCAAAGCCAAGGCCAAGAAACAGAAATAGAGATGGGTAATAAAACTCAAGAAGAGAATTCTTCGGTAGCAATGGTCACGCCATCAGATAAGATACAGCATATAACATTTTTATCAGATGGAGAAAACGTTGCAGTAGCTTCAAATGGTATTTATGCCAATGAGCATTCTTTGGAGACAGCAAGTGGAGAAGATATTTCAATCAATGGTAATGGTCGAATTACTGATTATCAACCCAGGCTTCATGATATTGATGATGAAGAGCTTCGAGATCTTCTTCGACAGCATGGAAGTACAGGAGCCAATGTTGGAACATAAGAATTAGCATCATCTTATTGTTATTTGTACACTTTAAGCTTCAATTTATTGACATATCACATTTTGGTAAGCCGTAAAGGAACACAATTATAAGTTTATAACCCTAACTGTTCCGACTGTTGTTTGCTTGATTATTGGAACTGTTACTAGAGAAAATACTATATTGGAACTGTTACTAGAGAAAATACTATATGTTGAAAATGTCAAATAGATTTCTGCAAAACAAGGTTGATGAATGAGCAGTAAAATTAGCAGGATCTATAAATTTTAATCACTTTGCTAATATTAATTATTAAATGCTGTCAATCTTAACAACTATACTACACAGCGTCCCTGATAGGAAACGTAAATAACAATATCTAATTATTTGAAAGGAACATTTTGTTTAGCCAAAGAAAAAATAAGATGTCGAAAATACTTAATATTTCGAAGAAGTTTCCTTTGACTATGGAATCATCATAGTTTAAAATAATACTATATTTGATTCAAAATAATGAATTTTTATAAGCTAGGATAGGCTAAAAGAAATTCCCAAAAAGACTTGCAAAGAGTACATTTCTTACCATCTTCCCGACAAAAACCAGATGGGTAGACCATTTTTATATCCTTGTAAAGCTTGATAATTCACCAAGACAGCTAGTACGAAAATCGAATTAGAAGGCCCTCTGTACACGCACCACAGTTTCATATAACATAAAGGTCTTCTTGTGTGAGCTTTTTACTTCTGTTTTGAGATTTTTATTTTTCGCTTCTTTGCTTTTAGAATAAATTTTACATGTTTTAACCATAAAGGTTTCATGTCAGCTGAACACAAAAATCACTTATTCCGATAATATTGAAAATGATTCTTTTACATGAAAAAGTAACCAGCAAGCACGATACACCATACTAATTGGGGATAGTAGGTGACTTGGCATTGCTTGTCGCTCAAAATCAGAACCTTCAATTTTATTTATTGTTGAATCCTGCAAAACCACAAACCTGCACTATGAAATGGTCGGACGAAGTTTACAGGCAGGCGGAAACCAGCTAATAGGTATAGTTATTTCACAGCAAGCTGAAGCTGTTGTGTTTAGATTTTGTCATCTTCAGTTTACTAAGATGGGTTGTATTGCTAAATTGGCTAATAACTGCAACAAGATTGACAAGAAAATTGACAGAAACTGTGAAATTCAAGTAAACATTAATGCTGCAAACTGACTTACATTCTAATGAATGAGTACATAATCAAAAACTTTACATTGCAAATGGAAAAACTTGTTAATGTTGAGGTAGAGCCGGTCTCTTTTCCAATACCTCGTAATGAACAACAAAATTATCCTGCATCCACATCAAATGTGCAACAGTAAAGAGAGATAACAAACAAATTGCCAGCACATTAATAAGTGAAGTGCAAAATGAAATAAATATGAATATGTCCAAACCTTGCGGATTATTTCAAATGTGTTTGGATCGAAACAGTGGTAAGATCCTCTCTCATATGTGTTTGTCTTAACAAGTGGCTCTACATTGGGAACTCTTATGAACCACAATCGGTGCTCTTTGTGATAAAACCAACCTCTGTTATAACTGCCAACAAGAAGTTTCACAAAGCCATTATCAACAGTAGCAGGACAGAAAATACTCCAAAAACTCAATCACCTTCAAAAATAAACACATTGGTTATATCTTTGAGATAAGTCCATGCATAAGTAAGAAAGGCAGTAAAAGGGAAGAGGGAGGAAGCTACTTGGATGTGAAAAGGCATTGAACTCAGTTCATAGATAGAGTAGAGAGCTTACAGTTCATTTGCAGCATATAATTGAGCCTCGTCTTTTGGCATGCTGAAAATGAGAAAAGGAATAAAATACAAAACACATGAGTGCTAAAACTTCACACACACACACACACACACACACACACACACACAAAGATAAAAAAAAAAAAAAGACAAACACAATAGAGAATGCACCTGTAAAATATATAAAACAATGTTTCAACCGTGAATTTCGCAAAGTAGCCTTGCTGCAGCCACACAAATGAAGTAAGAGCAAGGAAAAGGAGCAAGAGCACTAAATGCTTAAAAATTATATATATACATATAAATATGCGGATCAAAACAAGACAAACAAATATGAGCAAGAAAGAAAGGTGCAACTTACATGTAGAGCAGGAGGTTGTTTCGCATAATAGCATTGAGGCACACTAAACTCTGGATCACCCTTAGCGGGCTCATCAGACCATGGAGAACCAAATGTCTTGTGAAGATTTTCTGCTGCATTCAAATTTAATCCAAGAGTTGTTAAATCAATTCCAAGTGCCAGGGAGGTCAGATCAGGGTCACTCATCCTAATAACGCTTAGCAAGCCAAGTAAGCCAAATGGATCTGGAGCAGATTGTGCAGTCTGCATGGTTTTCATGCTCTGATCCCTAAATGACTGGTTGACAGCTGACATTTGTTGTAAACGGAACTGAGACTGGTTCTGGTGTTGTTGATATTGCTGGATGAGCTGGTCATACGATCCAATACCCGAAACAGTATTTGGTGAGTTTAGAGGTCTCAGTCCGATTCCAGGTGGTCCATTGGTCTGAATCAAAGATGATATATATGGGTTAAAAGAAATAAATTCTAAAAACGTGACAAATATCAAGAAAAAAAAAAAAAAAGCAAGTCTGTGATGACACTTGCCCACTGTGAGAAAATGAAACCACTCCAGTGAAAACTTAATTTACAGTGTTTTCTATTTTAAGAATTGAAGCCGCAATAACTTGTGTCATGACATTGGAAAAACCAAAAATATATTTGTTAAAAACTATTTACAGGCACAAACTCTCACACCTGCGAGTGATAGGTTGAATGTGAAGATGGAAATATATCTGAACCATGAAGAAGATCTTGATTGTTTACAGATGAAAAGGAGACACCACTACTACTGACAGCTGGAGCATGTTGCTGTTGCTGCTGTGGACGATAAGATGAATAAGTTCCACCTAAGTTGAATCCAGAAGATCTGCCCATCTGCAGAAAGCAAAATTGAAAAATAAGAGAAACTACAAAGCAGGAAACTCAATGTAAATGCCAATGTTCTGAGTTAAGGCTCACAGGGAAGTGCTGAGATTGCATCATTGATATAGTATTGTCATGCAGTTGTTCTTTTTGATGCAAATCCATTGTGTAATCAGCATTACCACCTGAAGCAAATCTTATATTATGGTCATTACAATATGGTGGAGTTAAAGCAGAACATAAGCCAAATAAATATCTAAGACCTTTAAATCCTGGTAAAGCTGGAAAATCTTCATTTTGGATGCTGAACTCTTGGTTTTGCTGAACAATAGGGCTAACTCCAAGACCTTGTTTTCTTAATGAACCTGAAATATTTTAGCTTTATATTTTATTCCACAATTACAGGTAGAATAATTAACAAAAGCAACCAAAAGCTAGATCATAAAATCAGGATGTAATTACCCAATTGTCCTTGTGGACCTCCAGCAGAACTAGGGCGACTTGTCAACTGAGGGAAATCATTATTTATGTCAAACGGAGAACTGTCATTGGAGTTGACATCATTCAACATTCCCATGGAGCTAAGATTGTTCACTGCTTGGACATGGCTTTGCGAAAGAGGACCACCAGCAGTGGGATAGGAATTTCCCAACATAGAAATTACCTGCGGAGATCCTGAATCCAGAAAATGTCATTTACACAAGCAAGTATAGCTAAAGGATACTTACAACCGCAACAACAACAGTAACAACAACAACAACAACAACTAAGCCTTAGTCAAACCACTTGCAACTATATCATTCATTAATAAAAAGAAAATTTCAGATACAGTGTATCATAGAAAGCAAATTAACTTCTAAGCAAAGATGCACTCTGAAAGCCAACCAAAAAAATGTTGCAAAATTGGATACTCATGAAACAAACAAAACTAAATCAAACAACTCAAATCTACTATTTCAGTTATGCAGCAACAAAACAAAAAAATAAAATCAAATAAAATGTAAGCTTCATCACTCTATGATGCTATCAGATATTTAACTAATCATCCTTCTATAAGAAACCAAGTGGGTAAATCACATATACATTCAGAAATCTGCTGAAATCCAGCAGTGTTTTTCTACCATATTGCAAGAGTGCATGTGCCACAAATTTGACAAACTATATGGACAAGCATTAATTTCTATTCAGCTGAGGCTCCAACATATCAGATAGATGTTTGGGGAAGCAGCACAGACAACAGATAACAAAAACAGAACAAGCTCAATTTTTAAACAAAATACACTTCAAAAAAAGTATTAACAATTTGCAAACCAGAGCATCACAGTAATGTTTCTCTCTTACTCTTAGCTCACAAACTATTAGTTAAGGTATTAATTTACTTCATACCTTGTGGAAGCACACCACCCATTAATCTATTTTGTCCTTGGACGCTTAAACTTCCAGATCCGCTATTAGCACTTAGATTTAACCGAGATAGACCAGGCACGGATAATGCTCCACCTGAGCTTATGCTCCTGCCGATGTTACCCCCGCCAACCATGTTTCCCATAGAACTTGTAATCCGAGGACCTGCATTCCCCAAAATTGGCGATACTCCCAATCCTGGCACAGCATTCCGGTTACCAATACCAGCAGAGGTGGGAAGAATTCCAGGAATAGAACCTCCAACTCCATTTGTGTTACTACTAAATCCAGGGTTCCCTACAACACTTATACCTCCTCTATTCGTGACTCCTGAATGTCCATGAGAGCTACCATGAGATAACTGCAGAGTGCATTGCAGGGAAAAAATGTAATGAGAAAACAAGAAGAACATTTGCTTGTGATTGAGCACAACAAATTACAGTTACTACTTTACGAACATATTACATATACCTGAGAGAGAGCAACAGGAAGATTATTAGATGCAAAGCGCCCACTAGAGAGGCTTCCGGTAGGTTGTTGAACTCCACCGGAAGGAATATTATTTACTGCTGTGTTCCTTGATGTGAGGGTACCAGGCATGTTGGGAACATTAAAGCTCCCATGGATATTATGTAGGCCTTGAATAGTACCTGCAATGAGAAACCACACAATTATAAACCAAATATGTACTTTATCAAATACACAAGTAAAGATATTCAGCAGATCTACCCACCAGTATGATGAAAAACAGGAGATGCTGCACCAGACTGACCAGAGAAAGAAGTAGCAAAAGAACGTCCAGTGCTGTCTGGAAGATTTGAAGCTGAACTGTTAAGCGAAGACTGCAAGCGAAAGCAGATTAAATATTACAAAAAAACAAATACACATAAACGATCTAGAGGAAGTAACTTCAAATCCCAATTGCAGATTTATATGCTCCAACATAAACAGAAAATAAATGCAAAAGACCACACAGGAAGAGAGAATATTAAGTCTGGATCCATTATGATATGCAACTGAAAAATGTTATTGCTAATGGTAAAAAATGGGCTTTGAATATGGGTGCTGCTAATTTATTTTGTACCTTCCAAGTCCGAGAAAATTATTCTTAGATATTATGGAACAGGAACAAAATTATAAATCTACTGTACTTAGGAATAAATCTATTCAGAAAACTGCTTCCAGTTCAATCCAAGGTCTCATGTCTCCCACCCAATTCATTTGAAATTCCTATCAGCATAGCATGCTCAGTCACAAAATTCAGTAGTATGCCAAACAAATCACATGTTCAAGACACTAGATATTCAAGAAACAAAATGACATAATCCAGTAAGACATCTGGCACAAGTCAAGAGCAAGTTGACAAGTTCATGTCCAAAAGGTTTGACTAGTGTTTAAATAATAAACGCGCATGAAAGGCAACACATCAAAACAAGCATACAAACAACCTAAACTAATAGTCCCCAAGAAGATAATAATCCAGAATTGTACAAGTATAACTAGGTCATAGAGAAAAGCGTCAATACATTAAGTAAACCCGACATTGCATAAATGTCAAAAGTTCATGCAAAAAATCATTCCTTGCTGAGGAGCTTCTGTTCTTTGTCTTGGGTCAAGGTATAGAAGGCAACTGATCAAAAAACTTTTCCCAATAAATAATTGACCTACAGCCTGAAAAGGACCATTAGATTGTGAGAAACCCACCAAAAAGAAAAAAAACAAGGGTAAGGAAAAAGAAAATTAGTAGGATTCTGTTCTTTGTCTTGGGTCAAGGTATAGAAGGCAACTGATCAAAAAACTTTTCCCAATAAATAATTGACCTACAGCCTGAAAAGGACCATTAGATTGTGAGAAACCCACCAAAAAGAAAAAAAACAAGGGTAAGGAAAAAGAAAATTAGTAGGATGAAAAGCAATGGAGAAAAGGAAGGCAGTAGGATGCAATCATAAACTCATAAGAAAACAAGCAATACAGCCATGCAAGAGATGCTCAGGAGGGAGGGAAAGAAAACAAATGCTTCAAATTTATGATTATGCAATAAAAGAAAACAAAGAATGAGCTTCTCTTTAGATATTAACACAATGCGTCATTTTCTGTAAGCCATCTACTTCTACAAAACAGACATAGAGCCCAACTATACTTCTATACATGTCTTTAACAAAAGGGAATTTCCTTGTGCACCACTGCCAACTATCAATTTTTCTTGAACAATTTCTAGTAGCTGTCAGAATCGCCTTTTGGAAAATCCAGCCCTTGCTTAGCTACATTTACAAAACTTCACTCACAACAAACAGAACAAAGAAACAAGGTCATGCTAGATTACCATTTCCGATAAGTTACTGAAACAACAAACTTATTATATATTATCCTAGATATAGATTAAAAGACAAATGATTAAACAGAAACTTACCACATTCCCAATTGAAGCGGAATGAAGTACTGTGAAAACAATTATTTAAATCATTAATGGAACAGGCTACAAGCACATGCTTCATCACACTGGTCAACCAACATTCATGGACAAGAATGTATCAACTCTCCCTCTCTCTCCCTCTCTCTCTCTCTCTCTCTCTCTCTCTCTCTCTCTCTCTCTCTATAAACCAGATGCTCACAAAGACAATAAAAACAATTTTCCGCATAAAATGCAGCATTGCAATATACATTACCTTACCAAATTAACTAATCTGTACTCATCAAATAACAAAATGGCCATTTGCCAGTTCTCCACAAAACAAAACGCGGAAAACTAAACTGAACTAGTTAAAATCTAAATTACTCATCCACCATTACTCCATTACTTCAAAAAACAGTGAGCAGAAAAGAAAAAAAGATCAAACTCACTACCTAGTTTACTTAAGGTGCTTTCAATTTATATTAAACTAATGCTAAACAGTTCATTTTCTTTCATATTCCCACTGTCTCTCAGCAAGCAAATAAATGCCAAACTAAATTACATATCGCCATCCTCCAATATTCACACTAAAATCTATACCACAGAAAGAGCCAACACGAACAAAGCCAATTGTCTTCAGAAACCCCTAAATTAATGGCCCAGATTTACAATATACAGTAAGCTATAACGCCAATAGATAGAAAAAGACAGGGATCTTAATAGAAGTAGAGAATGATTTAGGGATCGAAACCGGAGCGAGTCAGACTCGGAAACAGAAATAGAAACAGTACCTTAGAGGCAGATCAGCGATGGAAATAGAGATTTTATGGCTTGTGAGTCAAAAGGAGCGAGTTCGAGTTTTGCCCTAAATTGAAAGAAGCGAATAAGAGAAAGAGAGAGACAAAGGAAAATAATGGGCTTTTTTTAAGAGAGAGGATGTGATCTTCCAGAAAACGAAAAAGAGACATGACGTGATATGTTAACTACACGACAAAAGAAGAGTAGAATTTGCCAGCAGCAGTGACCGTTTGTTTCTCAGATGCGACTTTTGCCGTTCGATTAGAAGAAATATGTTGATCGGGATGTGCTTTGATTATTTTGTTATACTGGGGCGCACTCCACAGGATATATACAAAAGTATCAAATTTTCTGGTTTCTGGTTATTTTTCGTTTCTCCTATTATTAGTTACATGCTTGTGCTATACATAAATAATTTAATGAAAATATTTACTTTAAAATTTTTATATCTCATCTTTTATTAAAATATTTTTAATATTTATATAATTAATTTGTAGATAAATATTTAAAATTTATAATATTTAAATTTAATTTAATAAATAAAGTTAAAATTTTCGTAAATTGTAATTATGAAAACCATTTCTAAAATGTTACAAAATAAAATAATTTTTTAAAATGACTATTTCATATTTAGTGAAAAATTTTTATTGTACTAATTATTTATTTAATCATTTATATAATCAAATAATTTTCATTGTTTATTATATTATTGATTATTATATCTTAATATTTATATTCTTATATTTTTTTTATAAATTAATTTCAATCAATAGGAAATTAAAACAAAATAATTAATATATCATAATTATAAAATTTTAAAGCATTTTGGAATTCTTGAAATTTACATGGTATAGTTTAATTATTCTAATCCTATATGGCACTATGAAATTTTTATAATCTCACCCGACACTCACTGATAAAAGATATTTTTATATATATAGTAATAATCAAATTAATATTAACATTTTTGTAGGACAAGGTGTAATTTTCTTTCTGCTTCATATTTTTACATTTACGGTAATTCAATCTGCTTACTACTTTAAATATGTTTAATTTTTAAATTAGTTAAATATATAAAAATATATTTAGGTTTAATTTATTTTTGAAAGCATTTTTTTCAATTAATTTATTTTTAATATGTAGTTGTACTATTCAAAATTAATTAGAAAATGTTACAATTTTTAATTAATAAAACATAATAATATAATTATTAAAAAATTCACGTGATAAATTTATTACTAAATATAAGAAAAAATATATGAAGAATCATTACTTACTGTTATTCGTTACCGGTAGTAGACAATAGTGTTGACAAATTATTTAATATGTATATATAGGTTTATTCTTTAATCATAATAATAGACCATTGTTTGATAAAATATTTTTCTCTTTTAAAAAGGAAAACTCATTTTCTTTAAAATGATTTAGTACTTGCTTTAATTGAAAAAATATTTTGAAAATAATTGAACCTTTAATTGTCGGAATTATAAAAAAAAAAATGATTCAAAAATGTAAAAATTTAATATTTGATTGATACATGAATATTATCAGAAAAATAGATGACAAACCTACCTAGGCTTTAAAATTGAGAAAAAAAGAAAGAAAAATTTTCAGAAATTAAAAAAGTTACAATTTTGGCCAAAATTAGTTTATCTTCATTTAATATGATTTATTTAAATTGTTATTATGTTACATTATTTAGTTTTTTTTTTTTTTACATTTTTATTTCACATTAATTCATTATTTAAAAAGTTTTATGAAATAGTCAATCTGTTGTAATCTAGTTATTCTTTCTATTTGTATAAAGAATGAAAAGTCTCGAGTCTCTTGATCACTAGATTTTTAGTTGATTGAGCTTTCCAATGAATCAAAAAGAAAAAAGTTCTATCAAATTCATGTTTATAAACTTATACGTAGTATGGTTTCTTTCTTTCTCTTTTCTCATTGGTTTATCTAACCTGTCTTTTGTTTGGGGCTGTCGTTGTTAATCAGCAGTAGTTCCCTACTTTTCTTTTTTCTTTTCGCTCTTAATCTTTTATTTGTTTTTAATAAACTTAAATCTATTTTCTTTTAATAGATCTATTTTTTCTTTATTTTTTTTTGTTATTGTTGCTTTATCTCCATATTTGGAGTTCTTCTGCCTTCTTTCATGGGGTTTAATTTATTTTTTGTGAAGGTTTGTTCTTAAAAAGTATTATAATTGATTTTAATTGTTAGAGAATTTAGATATTATTTTACTGATGTGTATTTTCGATCAATAGAGCCTGGTAGTGCGGCATGTTCCTCCATTGATACTATTAACGCATAGTGGCTTGAACTCATCCGTATACGTCATACCCAACAAGTTTTTAGAAAAGAGATCCAAACACAAAGGATCTCGAGAAGTTATTTTATCGTTCAAATCAATTAAAGGATCAGTTGCTACTGTGAAAATTTATATCGGTCAAAGCTATTTTCAGGCGAAAAAATATAATATTATTTCTTTTAGTTTTAGTTTATTATTCAAAAGAATATAGATAATTTTTTTGTTATTGAAGGATCAACGAACTTTCTATTAATTGTGATAATAAGTTCCATTTTTGGACTAATCAGAGTATTTGTAATATTTAATTTTATTATTAATGAATTATATTTAAAAAAAATTCATGTTTATATTCCTACAATGTACTACCAAATAAAGAAGCTTTACATAAATTAAGGATATTATTATCATTTAAATATTACAAAAGATGGTTATGTTTTTATTTACAACCAAGTATAAAACTTCAACATTCTTAAAATTATATTTTGCATATTAACTTTCTTAGGAAATTGATTTTCTAAGGAAATTTTGTATTTTAGATAACCTTATATTTATCAAACAATTTAATAAAAATTGTTGCAAACAACTACTAATTAATACTTGCAAATCTCATGCAAAACATAAATAAATCAAGAATTATAGACACAAATTACAAATTACGGATTTTGAGACCAATAAAATAGAAACAGACTTATTTCTTTTTTGGTACAAATGAAATAATTTCATTTTATGATATCATTGTTTGAGATTAGGCAAGTTGCGAAGGAAATCAGGAATAGGTCCTTTATACTGTTATTATGTAAATCTCTGCAATTTCACAGGAAACAAAAATCATAGGTTATTAAGAAAAATTAATTATATCTAAAGTTGGTCCCAATTGCATATATTTTCTGTTTTTTTTTTATTAATATTTTATATAGAATTGAAATCAGGAAGCGACCCTGAGAGTTCATAGCCTAGCAATATTTTTCTAGTATTAGACTTTTAGGGTTCGAGAAAGTGGATTATAAACATTAGTAAAATAGTTAACAATTGCTAGAATAACTATAAACCGCACAAAAGCCAAAATTTGGTGCAGAAAGAACTAAAAAAATATTTGCACTAAGGAGAACAAAACCACAGTGTTACTTCCAAATGTAAGTTAAATAAAAAGAATTATTATCCAAACATTGAATTGATAATTGAATATTATTTCTGAAAAAATGAAAGATACAGAGGGACAATTTATTTCAAACAAATCACTTCAAAAAAATATTTATTTCAAGCAAATCATGCACATATACATGCAATGACGTGAAACAGGGATTACCACAACTCTAAACCAAACGAACAATATGTACTAAAACACATTGTTTGGACCAAACCAGGGATTATCACTCTCGAGAAACTACAACTATCTGTTTTCCAACATTTCGACCGCTATAAAGCCCTAAAATAGCTGCAGGGCCCTTCTCGAGTCCTTCGACGAAGTCTTCTGCATATGTTATCTTCTTTTCTCTAATGTAAGGCAGGACAAAATCCAAAAATTCGGAATATTTGGAGTAATAATCAACTGCCGAGAATCCCTCGTAACGGACACGTTTTTGAATAAGGGATGCTAAATTATAAACACCTTCAGGCTTGTCAAGATTGTACTGTGACATCATTCCACATCCAGCAATCCGGCCATGGACTCTCATGTTCAGAAGGACAGCATCTAGCATTTTTCCACCCACATTGTCGAAATAGATGTCTATCCCTTCAGGGAAGCATCTGTACCAATGAAAACCAGATTATTTTTTCTTAAAAATTTGTTAGTTTATCAGAATATGAAAAATAAGCTTGATAAAAAAAACTTAATTTTTGTTATCAGTAACAAATGCTGACCTTCTCAAAGCAGCATCCAGGTCTTCCTCCTCTTTATAATTGAAGGCATCATCAAACCCAAGTTTGCTCTTTAGTAAATCCACCTGATTAAGATAACAAAAATAGAAAAAAGGAAAGAACAGAGAAGGTGTGAATGTGATGCACAAGCCAGCATTTGAAAATTAGGAATTTAATATATAAAATATATAAAATACAGATATTGGAAAGAATTGAAAAGTCAAGAAAGACGTATTTATTATATTATCAACATACTCATTTTTGAACTATGATTGGTAAATAATTAATGTAATTTTTGAATGAAAGTAAAACCAAACTTTCACCTTTTCTTGACTTCCAGCGCTCCCAACAACATAACAACCCATCAATTTTGCAAATTGCCCAGCAATTTGACCAACTGAACCTAACGCTGCTGAAACGAAAACGCGATCTCCTTTCTTTGGAGAACTAACCTTATTAAAACCACCATAAGCAGTTATTCCAGGCATACCTGTAAAAAAAGCAATCAGAAAACAAGAAAACCAATCAGAACGAATGAAAAACTGGAATCCTACTCCAAGAATTGAATTTAATTCTCAACTCCACAGCGAACAGATCCTGACTTCAAATAAATGGCTATCTATTTGTGATAAAAATGAGATCCTCTGTGACTTACCAAGAATTCCAGCATAATATGAAAGGGGCACATCAATATTATGAATTTTAAAGAGAGATTCAGGTTCTGTGATGAGACTGTATTCTTCCCATTTAGTTAGTCCCCAGACTAAGTCCCCTTCTTTAAAATCTGAGTTTTTTGAATCCACAACTCTTCCCACTCCAAACCCAATAAGTGGCTGCAGTTCACCAAAACAAAGTTTCAAATCCACAGTTAGTTTTGATAAAGCAATATTCATAAAAGATGCCCAAAATACAAGCAATTTTAGAATTTTAGATTTCCTGTGTCTCATGATATTAAGGTTTTATTCTCTCTGATTGTATTCACGGGAACCAAACAGAAATTATACAACATAACAAAGAAGGTGAAGCAAGAGAACTTACAGCGCCAGGAGCATAGGGAGTAAAACCTCGGGTTCCGTTTGGATCGTCGAATTTAGTCATCAAGAGTCGCATGAAGGGATCACAAGAGAGATAGAGATTCTTGATAAGAACTCCATTAGACTCTGCAGGTGGTACCTTAAGCTTAATTGAAGCAGTGGTCACGTACATGTCCGATTCTTTAGGGGAAGCCGAGTTGTCTTTTAAACAGACCTGCTTGTTGCTCACTTCTTCACCACTAAACGCCATTATCTATTTCTTTCGCTCTCCGCTTAATGATGCTTCTTTTTTGTTTTCTGTCTTGCAGATGCAGGCAGTGCAAAATAACGGCTTTATAGAAGAGTACAAAGAGTGGTCAAAAAATTGACTTCACAACTTTCTTCTTTAATAAAATAATTATATTATCCTCTCTGCCACTCCGCCGCTGACGGCAATATTAATATTATTGTCCGTCCTTATGAGACTGATACGCTGGCTCACTAGGAAATTTCCTTTTTCATAATTTTCCCTCTTTCTTTTATTTTATTAATTTGTTTCCATTTCTTTTCTTTTACTTCCTTCTTTTTTTTTTTTCACTTTCCTTTTCAAATCCCTTTCACCTTTAGTTCTTTATACTGTTGCGGTCAAGTTTTGCTATACATCCATGTGGAAGTATTTCCTTTATAAATGTTACCATTTTTTAATTTATCTATTTGATGGGTTTCGATTTTCTTGAAAAAATGAAGAATGTTTTATCCAATTGGACACTTTGGCGTGATAGTGGTTGTGGTTTTTATTTATTTTCAATTCTAATGCTTTGTTCCGGATGGAGAGTGGATGTAAATGAAAGAGTAAAATGCTATTATTTATTTTGCCTCTTTATTTTAAACTCTTTGTTTAGTTTCATAATCGTTTCTTTACGCTAATTAATTTTTTTTTATTATTTTTTATGGGTTTCGTCTTTCTTTTGTTAAAGAATGGGAGAGTTTTTGTCCAATTGGATATAGAGCAGACCCAACTGGGGCACAAGAGAGGTATTTTATCCGGTTTACATGATGCGTTTCAATTGCAAAATGGGATTGAAAAAGTTCTTTTTTATTTTAATATTTTATGGGTCTTTACAGTATGGGGCTTTTTTTTTATTTTATTTTTTTCACATAAAATTAATGAAAAATCAGTATTTTTTGGACTGAAGTAGACGTAGCCATGGTTTCTGAACCGCCGATTTCAGTTTCAGAAACAAACCGAAAATTGATGGTTCCGGTTTCGATTCTAGTTCCTTAACAGCTCCAAAATCGACAGTTCTAACCAGTTTTTCGACCGGTTCTCGACCAGTTTTGTGGCAAATCGCATAATTGTAAAATAAAAAAATAAAGAACATTCGGAAACCAGCCGGTTCTTCGACCGATTTTGGCTAGTTCTTGGAACGGCCAGTTCACGGTTCCAAAAATAGTGGAACCGAAACCGAATCGTAGGCCACCAGTTCCGGTTCTAAAAATCGTAATTTAGCCACCCCTAGACAAAAAAACTATATTATGAGACAGAAGCAAATCTCGAGAATGTCGGAATAGTTTCACTAAAATATACGAATGAAGTTATTAATTTTGTAAAGACTCCAGGATAAAATGATATTTTTCCTTAAGGTAATAATTAATTTTGAATATCTTCTATTAATTTAATCAAAATAAACAGAGATAAGAGATTGAGATGATATAATTTATAAATGTCTTATATTTACAAATGTCTTTTTTTTTATAAAAAAATTATAAATGTCTTAAACGATATTATAGTATTATATATAATAATCCTGATGGCTGTCATGTCATGGATGATATCAGCATTTGACTAGCCGTCATCTGGTGGGGGTCTCTGACCTCCAACCTTTTTCGTCGGTTCTGTATTTATTTGAAACGCCGGGATAATTCAGCTTTGAACCTCCAGAAACAGAGGAAAACTATTCATTTCGAGTCATGCTTCCTTTTTCTAACATCGAATAAATTAGAAAATTTTAAAATAAAAAAAAAACATAGTATAAGGAAAACAAATGTCGTACAGACCTAAATTCCCAATCAAAGTTGACGGCTCAAAAGAATAAAATAAAATAATTTACGAAGAAATTCAAAGAATACCTATTTTATAAAAAAAACATAAAAGATTAATGTTGTTTTAAACCCTATTTACCAATCTATTATCATTTAAAAATAATTTGCATACTTGACATTTGAGTTCAAGAGAAGTCATTGAAGATATTGCATTCGCATTTCATTGCAGCCTTATTGGAAAAATTAAGGAAAAAAAAAAGTCTACCAAGAAATATAAATTTTATTACTTATATTTTGAGATAAAATAATAATCTAAAGCGACTTATATTTTGAAACAGAGGAAATAATTTATCTAATCTAATATTATATTAAAATATTAGCTCAACAAATAAATTCCCACGTAAAGTTTATTAAAAAATTTAGTGATATTCTTAATTTTTAGATTACCCATTAAATATTTCAACTTATAAAATTGCATATATATTAAATATAAGTTTACATAATTTTCAGTTAATCAATAAATGTCTAATAAACCTAAAAATTAGCAGGGCATTAAAATTTTACTCTAAAGCTTAGGTGTGAATTTATGCATTTGAAATTTTTTTTGTTACCCTTACTTCCTGCTCAGGTTCTGCTACTTTGCAAATTGATATAACAATCGAAAGGTTCCTAAATGACTTTGGATTTGCTGATGGGCTGTTGCTTAAGGTTGTGGGCTCTACTTGAGAAATTTGGGCTGTCCTTCCCAGCGTGGCCTGCTTTGCTATATGCCTTTTGGGCCTCGGGGTAAGCACTAAAAGTCTGACGTGGTATTGGTACTGGGTTCCTCGAAAAATGAGTTAATTTTTGTACGAGGCAATAGTTTATTTTGTCCAACGGCAAAAATTATACAGAAGGACGATGCCGTTTATGTATTATTATATTTGGTGTCGGTGCCAAAAATTTCAGAATTAAATCATCCAGAAGCCATTAAATAAAAATTCGTGACAGAAAGTAAGTTTCATAGCAACATTATTTTGAAGTTTTTTCGCCAAATTTTTTTCTTTTATACAACAAGAAAACATATAAGAATTAACACATAAGAATTACACGTAAAGAAAAAAAAAATAAAATTTAAGTCATTACAGTAGAGTTTCGCTTAAATAGCCATCCTTGATAAGAACGTGAAAATAATAATGCCGGAAAAATAAAATCGGCATCATTTAGTATCAATTTATGTTTACATCAAACCACTTTCATATAAACGTCAAAAGCTACCAAAAAAATTGGGAAATTTCATAAAATAAGTGTAATGTCGTTTTCAATCCTGTATTTGTGCATTAACAATCTTAACACGGTTTCTTATTAAAGAATATTGAAGGTGTAATGGGTAGGGTAGGTTTCCATTTGCCACCTAAAAGAGCGGTGCAATTTAAGACGAATAAAACTATTCTTGTGCTAGATAAGAATAAGATAACACCTATCCTAAATAAACCTCTTCTTCTGTACTACTTTCATTCTGCTGGCTAGGCCTGCCTCTATCTTTCCTCCATTATTATTAATTACTTAGTTGGTACTTTTACCTCCATTTTCAATTCTTAAGTCTTGGAATTTTCCACCTCAACCTTATATGGATTCTGCTTAAATAAGAAATATTATCTTTTAATTCAATTTAATTAAATTCTGAGTATGATGAAACCTCAACTCTTAAGAGAGTCCAGTTTAAAAATGATAAAATTATATATATATGTTGACCCACTTCTATCTTTCTGCTCTGCTCAAGTTTGAACGTCTTTGAGATATTTTGATATACACTACGAAAGTTTCCCTAATCGGGATTTGAGATTTTTGCTTTGATTGGGCCTTTGCTTTTAAGGTTGTGAGGGTGACCCTCTACACCTTTGAAATTGTTTATCTTGAATTTTCTTTTATGGGACTGTTCTCTTAGCCCAGATGACGTGAGGTCGACTGCTTATTGTCATATTGCTTGCACATGTGGGTTTCCTGTGACTAGGATAGAAGCACCCTAAAAAGTCTGACGTGGTATTTTACTGGGTTCCTCGAAAAACTGTCTAAGTTAATTTGGTACGAGGCAATAGTTTATTTTGATCCAACGGCAAAAAAATTATACAGAAAGGACGGATGCCGTTTAATGTATCAGTTTATATTTTTTGGGTCTGGGTGGTCCCAATAAGTATTTTCAGAATTAGAATCATTCCAAGACACGCTATTAAAATTAATAAATCGTTGACAGTAAGCATAGTGTTCATAGTCATACAGTGTTATTTTTTGGAGATTAGGTCTGTTTTCGGTCCAATTTTTTGTTTTTATAGTTAATACATACAAAGCAAATATTATTAAAGAGCTGAACACAATTAAGAATTACACGTTAAATAAAACTATGAAAATATAGGTGATTAGATAAAATTGTTAAGACCCATTATTCTGAGATTATGCTAGACAGGATTTTTGAGTTTTCGGCTTAACGAACTAAACGTCCAAATTCCTTTCTAAGAATGATTGAATGATGGAAAATGCCGAGAAAAATTTTCACAAATCTGGCATCATTTAGGTCCCCAAACTTTAGTGGTTTACATCAGGTCCAGCTGTTTTTCATATAAACGTTTCACAAACAGTACCCATATTCAAGAAAATTATCGGGAAATTTTCCATAAAGTATAGTCCGAAATGTAGCGTCTGTTCAATCCATGTTATTTTGCATAAACATTCATTAACGACGGTTTTGTTCTAATACTATAAAGTCATTATTGAAGAGGCTTGTATGCCGGATAAGTGGGGTAGGTTTCCACAAATTTTGCCACCTAAAATGGCCTCTCGCCGGAATGCTAATTTTTAAGAACTGATACATAAAAATCCCCCTAATGTGCTCGTTTAGCATATATCTTTTAACCGCGTACACCTATTCCTATAATAAATCCTCTTCTTCTGTACTACTTCCATTTCTGTGGCGTAAGGCACTCAAATATGCTCTAATCTTTATGCCTTATGATTTACTCTACTTCTAGAATGTGAGTACTCAATGTCTACGCTCCATCTTTCAATTTTAAGTCTTTGAATTTCCACTCAACCTTGATATGGATTCTGTTAAATACGCGAAAATTATTAATCTTTTTATACTTGCTCTCGCAATTTGAAAGAGTTAAATCTCTTGGCGATATGAGTGAAACCTACAACTGCTCTAGAAGAGAGAAGCCACACCAGTTTTAAAAAATTTGATAAAATTGTGTATATATATATAGGTAATTATACATCTCATATGATTATATATGAATTTATAATTGATCTATAAGCTTTTTGCTAGTATGTCATTTATATTTAGTGTTTTATAATAATCTGATCCGGTTCATTCCGACCTAAATGTAACTCATGTTGG